CTGCCTCTTTCACCTGCTCCCATTCTAGCCCCGCCAGGAGCATTCTGGCCAAAAGCTGAGTGAAGGGAGCTTCCCCCACTCCCCCCAACTGAGACAGGGGTCTGTTGGCTGGTGCTGCTGGCCTCCACACTTGTGTTGGCAGAGAGGCTGCAGTTCTTCCAAGCCTCCCCTCCTCTGCGCTCACCTTGACCGTGCGGATGTAATCCAGCGCATTGGGGACCAGGGATTCCAGTTCAGGGAATCGCTTCGAGTACTTGTCCCGGATGAACTTATGGATGATGTCTAAGGAGGACAGGATGGGAGGTGTCCGGTGAGGGGGCAGGGCGACTCTGCTGCTGTCATCTCCCCCCTTCCCATGAACTTTAGTTGGGCACTGGGCACCAGCATAAGGCTCCAAGTCCTGGTGACCCTTGCTGCTAAATGCAGCCACGCCAGTTAGTTCAGGTTCACGAGGTGTGGGCTGAAGCCACATGTCAGCCCCTTAGAGAAAAGAACTGCGCTCTCCTCTTCGCTCCCATTTTGCTGGTGAGATGTGAAGAGACGGCCGATTGACAAGACAGAGCCGGGCGTCTGAGGGCAGCAGTGACAAGCTAAGGCCAGCCTGTTCTTCCACTAGGGAGCTCAGTCTTGCTGAGAGTAGGTTGCAAAGCTCCCCACTCCCCAGCGACCCCGTCAGCCTGCACCACACCCCTCCTGGCACCTGCCCTTGTACCTCCATAAACACCTGCTTCCTCCCAGACAGGAGGTGTGAGAGGGCAGCCCCCCTGGCCTGCTACATTCTGCATCTGTTCCCAGGACGGTGTCTGTGTCCATGTCTGTTTGAGGGACAGGTGACGGCCCAGGGACATCTCCTTCCACAGGGCTCCACCCTGGGTTTATAGACAGGCCCTGATCTTAGGTGCCTGGAAGGCTCACCCAGACTTGCGCAGGTGAGCCTCCTTCTGACTTTAGTCACCTCCTTCTGACATAAGCCACGGTTGCACCTGGGCCAGAGCTAACAGGAGAGCTTGGGGCAGCACCCCAAGAAAGACCTGAGTTCTGCCTGGCCCTCCTGGGAGACAGCAGTCTGCTGTGAGGGAGAGCAGGCAGGCTGGCTCTGCGGCCCTCCTCGACACTCACTCAGCTCATTCTCGATCTCCACAGTCAGGTTGTTGGCATCCACAATAACGCGGTATTCAGGGGCTGCCTCCACTGGTCCCATCACTGTGAGGGCAAGAAAGCCTGAGTGTGAGGGTGAGTTTAAGCACTCCCTTCCGGGTCCACAGCCAGGGAGACAGGGGGTGGGGAGGAAGCAGGGGCTAAAGAGACAGCCAGGGGAGATATTACATGTCCACAAACACCCCATTTCTCCCTCCATTCTGTCCTCTAGGTACACGCAGACTAAGCCCTATCTTGCCCTGAAACTAAACACTCTCCTGGCTCCCCAAGCTCCCCAGAACTTGGAAGCCCCTTGAGGACAAGCAGTGTCCATTTCCCAGGCTGCCAGGAAGACTCGGGACATGAGGAACTTTCCCTCAGCTCTGGGGAGGATCAGCGTCTCCTCACTCCCCCTGCATTTCCATCACAGCCATTAAACTCAACTGCTACCCAGTTTTGACATTTCCTGCTCACCTCCCCTTCCATGTTCTAGGCGACATCAGAAAATGTCACTTTGTGCCTCCCCACAGCTCTCTGGACTGAGATGAGATGACGCCCCCCCAAAATGCACTTCTTTCTCCCATGCATGTGGCACTCAGCCTGGCCAATATACTCCAGCTTCAAAGGCCCACCCAGAGACCAGGGCTTTACTGCCCCTGAAGCAGGCTTGGCACCCTCCTCACAGCCAGCCCTGCTCAGCAAGCACCCTGGGCCTGGCCTAGCTGCACTAGTCGCCGTACCTTCTCAGAGCAGGCTCAGCCCCAGGGCATCCCAGGAAAACTTTAAAGAGTGAGTCACCTGGAAACTGCTGATAACACCCCACAGCCATGCCCCAAAGCCTCCCTTGGCTCCCTGTTACCAACAGTTCTGTCCCAGAGTCCCACCTCAACAGGAAGGACAGGAAAAATAGGGGCGGACAGGATTGCCCTCTGAGAGCTGAAGTGAACACCCTAGACGTGACCCGCACAAGTCACGCCTGGAAGGCAGAAGAGGTCCCAGGCGATGCTCTGACAGTCTAAATGCTCACGAGCACTATCCATGTACCAAACAATACCAGGTCCCCAGTCGCAGCAGCAGTGACCCCCCTCCTTAGGTAAGCACCAGGAAAAGAAGGTACTGACTTCAAAAAAATGTTCAGTAAATCATCTGACTAGCAGTTTCCAGGTGTGGGGAAATCCTCTGACTGGACAATGAATCAGTAAGGTCAGGGAAACCTCAAGTTACATCCAATCACAATTGCTCAGCACAGAGCAAGAACCTAAGAAGTGTCAGATTTATAATACGAGATATTTTCAGGGAATAGAGGCTGGGTTGAGATGAAAAAGAGGCCTCTGGAAAAGGTTGAGAGGAAGACAGACCCAACTTTCAAGGTCACAGGCAGCCAAAGAGCCAAGAGACGGGGGTGGGGTGGGGGCGGGGGAACGTACAAGAGTGAGGTGGAGGTAAATACCTTCCGAAGCTTTGGCTTGCTTACTGATGTAGTCCTCGATCTTCATCATGATCTCAGCAAACTGGTCAGGAAGGAGATGGGTCAGAACCCAGGGCCGGGCCCATGTCCCCACCCCCCCGATCCCCACCTCTTTCTGGTCTGCTCACCATCTTGCTGTCCCACAACTTGGCAATGCTCTTGACCGAGTCCCCAGAGAGATCCAGCTGTGTTTCTTCCTGCACATCCTCAATAGTTGGCTCCTCTTCCTCCTCCCCATAACTTCCTCCTTCCTCCTCATCAGCCGCCTCCTCCAGGTCAGCCAGGAGCTCATCTGCCAAAGACATCCTGCAGCCTGTAGTGGGAGAGTAGGGTTCCCTGAAACTTCACTCCCCACCACGCCCCTCCTCATTCACAGTAGGGGCTTCTCCCTCAGGAGGCCCGGTCCTCTTCCATCAACCCCACTAGCAAGCAGGCACCACAGGAACATGTAACTCCATTGGCTTTGGTCTCCAGCTCCCAGCTGTGCCTGGTACATAACAGGCGCTCAGCAGACACCTGCTGGATGCATCCACCTACACGCCTCCTGAAACCCGTATGGTCCCCAGTCACACCCACTTCCCTTGACAAGACTCATTATGCCCTACAGACCTCGCCTCTCTGAGACATCAGAGAGACCTCCGTTTATGAGAGGTGACCTCTGCTCATCTCTTTTTCCCCCCTATAAACTTACCCCCCTCCCCGTTTGACCCTAAATGGGTGACAGATATGCTAAAATACTGACCTCCTTAGCCATCAGGGCAACTAGGCAGGGTCTCATAGTCTAATGCCCCCAGGAGGCCACCACTAACCACAAGATGCCTCCCCTTCTAACCCCAGTGCTGTACAAATGTATTTTCCACAAGTCCTGTGAAGTCAGAAAGGTTGGCAGCACTCCTTCACAAGGGGTACCCCACCACTTTATCTTCCCCACTGCTTTTAGTTTTTCTTTTTTTTTTTTTGTGGGACCCTCGCCAGCGGCAGGGGAACGAACGGGCCACTGCAGAGGCTGCGGGCAGCCTTGCAGGCCAGCACTCAACCGCTGCGCCACCAGGGGAAGCCCACTTTTTGTTTTTCTTAAAGAACTCTTCCTCTCCTGGGGCCTCTCCTCTCCTCTCCATAAGACCAACCCCTTCTTTGTTCCCTCCCCTTCTGTGGCCAGCTTCCTAACCAGTATAAAAACAGGGATGCACAGCTAAAATCCACACACCATGAATCTTGCTCTTTTATTCTTTCTTTTAATTTGCCATTCTACATATTTTTCTATATCTAATATCTTCCTACTTTTTCTCCCTTACATCCACTTGGCCCTCTCTCTTCCCTCTTTCTCTTTCCCTCTTTCTTAGAAACCTCAATTAGGTAGGTTATCAGTATCCATTAGTTTACAGATTACTTGTTTCATCAGCTAACCTGCTTTATCTTCTTATGTCACTCATAGACGTGAAATTGCTAGATATTTCTCTTTCTTGCTAACTTCACTCTGAATACTCCCCTTATTTCATTTTGCTGTAAATGACAGCATTTCATTTTTCCCTATAGCTGAATAGTATTTCATTATGTGGACAAATCACGTCTACTGGATCCAGTCCTATCAGTGGGCTCTTAGGTTGCCTCTATAGCCTGGCTGCTGGAAATAATGCTAACTAGACATTATTTCTTGAGTTTGAGTCCTCTGACCCCAGACTAGATACTCCTGGACTGTGATACATCTTCTTAATTCTTTAGGTTGCCTGAAGGCTTCCCAGAGACTCTAATTTACTAACATTTTGTTTAATGCCTGTCTTTCCCAAGAAGGCCAAATTTCTGCAAGAAATTCACGCTCACTACCCCAACTGCTTGTCACCGAGTAGGTAGAACGACCTTGCTTGATTCCAGCCAACCGCTCCAGCCGCACCTCTACCACTATGCCCCTGGTCCATGGGTCTGACTCACATTCCCTGAGCTCACGAACTTCGTCCCCAACACCTCGTTAGCTCTAGTCTTACATTCCAGCTCCCTGACCCAAGAACCCCAGTGCAGACGAGACAGGTTCTCGGTGAGACACCCGCACGCCCTGTGGGAGCCCTAAGGCGCTTCCCCCCCACCCCCCGAGTGGTTATTTAAATAATTGTAAGCCGAAGCCTCTCCCCACCCCCAGGCACCAAGCAAAGCTCTCCGAGCCGTCACCCGAGGGAGGAAGGCCCGCCTTCCTGACACACGTCCTGCCCCGGCCCGGGGAGACGGCTCCCCTGCCGCCCTCGTGTGCTTCACACTCACCTCTCGCCCGCTCGCCCGACTGTTTCTAGGAAAACCGCGTCCAGACACCGCTCGGCGCTCACTGATGACGTCTCAACCCGCGCCGCGAGCGAGACAAAGCTGCGCGCTGATTGGTCCGCGTCACGGCCGCCTTTGCAACAACAACTTTATTGGCACCTGGCGCGAGGCGGAGAAGGGAGAGCAGGGGCGAGGAGGCGCAGTCGGCGCACGGCCCGCCGAGGACGGAGCCTGCCAAGCGGAGGATCGCCGGCGTCGGACGACAGGGCGTCGAGTCAAGCATAAAGACTGAGGCCACTCACACGACGGTGGGGCGTCCCACGACAGAGCGAGGCCTTCAGCGGGGACTCGGGGTGGGGGTGGAGGGGCTGGGAAGCGGAGCCGGAAGCAGGAAACTACGACTCCCAGAAGGCGTAGCGGCGGCCGCGAGGCCTGATGGGACAGAGAGTTTCTCGGGCTCTTCACCTAGAGGTTAGGTTGCGAGGTTGAACGTTCTGAGGCCGAGGGCGCCCGGAGCGGGACGGAGATGGAACTGGAGCAGAGAGAGGGGTAAGTGGTGTGGGGGTGAGCGGCGAGCCCCAAAAGGCCGTGCGCGTTCATTCCGAGGGCTGCTGGGGTTGCAGTTCATGCGCGGCTCCCGCTTAGCCCTCCGCAGCGACGGGGTCGCCTGAGCCGGAGCATCCCCGGGCCGGCGCCGGGGGTCTGGACCACGGGATCTGAGCGAAGAGGAGGTTCGAGGCCTGGGCTCTCGGGTCTGAGTGAAGAGTCGGGGCCTTGAACTCCTCGAGCCCTTGGGGAGCAAGATTCCGGAGTCCGCATTCCTGCATCCTAGAAGCGTTCGGGGTTCGAACGCTTGTGCGCCCTGGGAAGAAGCGGGCGGGGGTTTGGACTCCCGGGCCTGAGGGAGGGGGGCTGGGGGCCCGGACGCCTGGTCTGAGGGAGGCCGGTTTGGGCAGTGGAAACCCACGTCTGGGGAGGAGGGCGCTCGAGCAGGGTGTTAGGGTCTCTGAACCCAGCTCCCCCTCCCCGCATCCTCCCAGGACCATGGCAGCCGTGGGCTTTGAAGAGTTCTCGGCGCCGCCGGGCTCCGAGTTGGCGCTGCCTCCGCTGTTCGGCGGTCACATCCTAGAGAGCGAGCTGGAGACTGAAGTAGAGTTTGTGGCTGGGGGTTTGGGCGGTTCGGGGCTCCGGGAGCGAGAGGAAGAGGAAGAGGCTGCCCGAGGCCGGCGGCGGCGCCAGCGGGAACTAAATCGCAGAAAGTACCAGGCCCTGGGTCGGCGCTGCCGGGAGATCGAACAGGTAGGTGAGTGCGGACCCCCCAGTTTTGAGATCCCGTGGCCTAAATTACCACCCCCTCCCGTTCTCAGCCTGTGCGCCTGCCCAGCCTTACTCACTTAGCTGAATAGAACGGCACTCATTGCTCCTTTACTCTGCGTGGATTATGGGCCAGTCACCCGGAGAGCTCTCCAGGACCCCTGGCATCAGAATTGGGGGGAGATGACACTTCTGCTCCCCACTGATAAAGTTCTTCAGATCTCCCCAATTCCCAATGCCTGTCACTCCCATCCATCCCGCTTTTGGGTCTTCTTGTGTCTCTGCCCCTTCATCCCCATGGCCCCTGCCCTGGACCTAGGTCTTTGGGCCGAATCACTGTTATTAGTCTTTCTGGTGAGAATGATGTGGAGCAGTGGGCAGGGCCCCACCCTGAAAGACCCCCAACATTGGCGCCAGAAGCTTGGATTTCCTTTCTTTTCTGGAGAGAGGGAGACTGCTGCTGAAGTGTTTCAGACAGAGGGCTAATGCTGGGGCTGGGTGTCTGAGACTGAATTGGTGGTATTTGTGAACAACCAGTTCATAAACTGGGTGACTGAGTGGCCAGATTCCAGACAGGTATCATAGTTCTGGAGACTGGAAGCTCAGGGTTGCTCCTGAGCACTGGTGCCAGGTAGCCCTGCTGCTCCAGGTGTTTTGCAGGGTGCTAGCTGGCATTTTGACCTGTCTTCACTTCATGTGGTAATCTCACTATATGTATGTCCCCCAGCTTTCCCTTTTGATAAGGACACCTTTATATTGGGTTAAGGCTCATTCTCGTGACCCCCTTAACTCGATCACCTCTGTGAAAAACCCCTGTGTCTAAATAAGGTCACATCTTGAGGTCTTGGTTGAGGACACAGTACACCTTTTTAGGGGAACACCATTCAGTCCACCACAGTGGTGCTGGAGGAGTTCTGGAAGGGGGGCCTAGAGGCCAGAAGACTAGGCAGAAGGCTGGTTTGGGAATTCAGGTGGAATAGGAGGGGCTGAGCCGGGGTGGGAGTCAAAGAAACAGGAGGGGATGTAGCCAAGAACAAATAAGGAAGCTCTGTTGGAGCATAGTCATAGGCCAAATAGGAATGTTTGGGGCTGACTGGAGGGGAAAAGTGCACTCAGTATCCTGGGGAGCACACTGAGGACTTTGGGGAACACTAAACTCACCCAGGACTGGAGAAGAGTTCGGCCCAGAAGGGAAATGGCCTGCATGCCAGGCCAAGGGTAGAAGGGGCCGTGGGAGCACCAGGAGCAGGTCTGCTCTGGTATTAAACATAAGTCCCTGAAGCTACACCAGAGCCAAGGGCTCACACACCCTGTGGCAGCCGTGCTGCTGCTCAGCACCTGGGACAGCGACAGCCACCCGCCTGTTCAGTGTCTTTGTAAGGCGTGAATATACACATGTGTAGTTGTGCAGTGACACTGTAGAGATGGGCCAGGCATAGAAACTGGATACTGTGTATCTTACCAGGCAGCTTTGGCCTCTGCTACAACCTTCAGCTCAGGGAAAAATGGTTCCTCCTTCCACAACTACCCCTGTCCTCTCCGGTTTTTCAAGACTCCCCAGAGTACCTGCATCTGCAGACATGGGCCTCCACGGCTCTTCCGACTCTCTCTCCTCCTTTCCCAAGCTAGTCTTACAGATGAGTGGCTGCCTGAAGGAACTTGGCCCTTGTCTCATACAGCGCCCCATTCCCAGGTTCTGCCAGAGGTACTAGGGACCCAGCCACAAACGCCATCCTGGAAGGGGAGACTAGAGAGAAGGGCTCTTGGGCACTAATGAAGCTTCAGAACAAGGGAACAGAGAAGTGGGGATGGGGTGCAGGTGGGTGAGCAGTCTGGGAGGACCCAGAGTTGGTTACATTGAGCTGAGATCTGAGGGGTAGAGCTACGAGGCGTGAACCCTACATCACCTTGGAGGCAGCAAGGGAGGGCACAGGTGGGGAAGGGGTGGGTGCAGGAAGCTTTTTAGCCACAGTCACAGCAGAGAGTCAGATGACAGCATGCTGTCTCCACCTCCCACAGGTGAACGAGCGGGTCTTGAACCGGCTCCACCAGGTCCAGAGGATCACTCGGAGGTTGCAGCAGGAGCGGAGGTAACCTGGAGGGAACCGGGCGTGCCCTCCACCTGCCTGCCTCTGTTACCTAATGTCTACACCACCTTCTTCCCCATCTGCCCAGCATCAAGGGCTGGGAAGTGGCTGGGGGAGTAGGTGGGTGAGACCAAAGAGCCCAGGAGTGGAGTTGGGCCTGGGAGGGCTGCCCTGGGCTCCGACTGGAGTGTGTACACCACCAGGGAGCATGGCCCTAGAGGTTCACACCTGGTCGAAAGCATTTTTTACTGTGTGACTTCCCATTAGCGAGTCCTTCTCTGAGCCTCAGTTTACTGTCAGCTAAGGGTGCTACCCAAATGACCCAGAATCACAAGGCAGCTGTGAGTGAGCGCAGCATGTCCCTCCTCACGTCACTATGACCCTGGAGGCAGGAACTCTGGGGCTAGCCTGCCATGCACTGTGTCCCCATCTCTGCCACCCAGGAGTGAAGGGCACAACAGTGCTGGCCTCAGTCCCCCCACCTTGCTGATCCTGGGGGGGCGCACCTTCTTTTTTGAAGCCCTTTCTTGGTGGCCAGGTTACCCACCTGTCTAGAGCCCCCCCACCCCAATTCCTTCTTGCCTGGCTCATCCCCTGTTGCCCAAACCTTAACCTAGTGGGCCCAGGGCTGCACCTGCATCCTCTTCCCCCACCCCCGCAGTGTGTGGTATAGTGGCCACAGATGGTGACATTTAATGAAAACAAAATGTAAGTTCATTAAAATAAACTTTAACATGATATTGAAAATCAGTTCCTCTGCAGCTTTTGCTACAACAGCGCCCAGCAGCCACGCCTAATTATTCAAGAGAATGCAGAACTTCACTTCCTTGCTGGCACTGGCCACCTACCCCTGCTCAGTGGCACAGTTGGTGCTTTCATGAACTGAAATCTAATGACAAATCTCAATTCCTCAGTGGCCCCAGGTGCATAAATGGGCCATGTAGCTGGTCCAGTCCTCAGCCATGCCCCCACAGGCTAAGGGCTTGCTAAGAGCAGCAGTTGGCAGTGGTCATCGCAGCGGACAGCACAGATGCAGGACATTCGTCCTCCTGATCTGTGGATTGGTGCCTCTGGGAGGCCTCAGTGCCACTTGGATGCTGCCAGCCTCCCACTTCAGCTACTTTCTCCACGGGTCTCCAGTCCCTTGTGAGCTGCTGCTGGAGAGTGACATCACTCACATGCACCCAAAACAAACCCTCTGCCTAGAGATCCAACTCTCCCCTTTGCTGCTTACTGTTACCACACAGCTGACCTGCTGGATCGTTGACTCTACCCCCAAAATCCATCAGGCCCCTGGTCTCATCTGGTCTCTGAGGCCACTCACATGATTATGGCCTCCACCTAATCTCCCTGCACCTCCCCCCTCAGTGTCCTCACAGCTGCCTGCGGGAACCCCCTTTTTCATGTGTCCCACTAGCAAAGCTTTTACTTTATGAAAGATTCTGGTGGCTGACTTGGCCCCACTTTCTGAGCCAGCACCTGGAGCCCCGCCCAGCGGGTCTCAGTGGTCGGGTGCTCTGGAACACACTATTGCAGTTCCCCAAAATTTAAAAATAAAACCACCATTGGGTCCAGTGATCCCATTTCTGGGCACATAAGCAAAGAATGAAGCAGGGACATGGACAGATAATGCACATCCTCGGTCACAGCACCGTGACTCACGCAGCCAGAGGCGGAAGGCCCGAGGGCCTCTGCAGGTTAATCACGAGGTCTCTCCTGGAACATTACTCAGCTTGAAAACCTAGTGCCACTGCTGTGTACTTTTCAAAATGGTTAAACTGGTACATTTTATCACATCTTTTACCCCAGTTTTTAAAAAGAAAATTGATTTTTTCGAAAGTTAAATTGTAAGGCAGACCAAGTCACTCCTGCCCCAAGCTCTGCAGCAGGGATCCCACTGGCTCAGGGTGACATCTTGGCAGCCAGTGGGCCCTCCATCAACACTCCCGGCACGCTTGCACCTCTGGGTCCTGGCACTTGCTATTTCTTAGGCCAGAAATGTTCTGCTGCTCCCTACCCTTCTCAGGCGACCTGCCCCACTGTCCTTTTGAGGTGCCCATGAGTATCACCCTCCCCTTTGCTCCCTTCTGACCTCTTGCAGTGCTTATGGCTGGCTGCCCCTGCTGACTCCAGTTCTGTCAACACAGGAATGGCTGTGTGTCCCTGGGGATCGCCCCAGCCCCAGCACACTGATGGGCACACAGCAGGTACCCAGTCTGCACTGGTAAATGAGACTGGACGTAAAATGCTCGCCTCAGGCGATGTCACACAGGGAGCAGTTCCTCAGAGCTTGGGAGAAAATCTCCAAGGGCTTTTTGAAGCAGGGCTGGGAAGAAGGCAGAGTAGCAGGGTCACCAGAGACTGGAGGTCACCAGCCGGGGAGCTATGACCGGCGCTGATCCTCGCTCTTAGAATTACGTACATTCCAGCATTTCCTAAGCCACTGCCTGTGGGGTGCCAGAGACAGCACCCGGTTACAGGGTGGGACGGAGGCTCAGGTCACCCTGTTTTGCCCAAAGCTCCCCTGGCGTGTCAAGTGCTCTCAGCTTCAAACCTGGCTGAGGACACCTTGGCTTCAAAGGGAGTAGAGCTGAGTTGTAGTGTCTGTCTGTCCTTCCCCACCTCTGGGAGACAGTGATCCTACTGGGGCTTCTCTCGGGTGCAGGTTCCTCATGAGGGTGCTGGACTCCTATGGTGATGACTACCGGGCTGGCCAGCTCACCATTGTGCTGGAGGTGAGGGGGACTCCTGGCGGGAGTTCTGGGCGGGTTGTGGACAGGCAGGCTCAGGACACAGCCTTACCTGCTGTCTCCCTGCCAGGATGAGGGCAGCCAGGGCACTGATGCCCTCACCCCAGGCAACACTGAGAACGAGCCTCCAGAGAAAGAGGGGCTGTCACCGCCCAGAAGGACACCGGCACCCCCTGAAGCCAGCAGCCCAGCTCCAGGTGAGGGGCCCAGTGGGCGAAAGAGGCGGCGGGCTCCCCGGGATGGACGCCGAGCAGAGGCCATACTGACCCCAGAACTGGCCCCAGTACAGGTAGGCTTGGGGGCCCATAGGCTGGTCTGGGGAGTGGAGGTGAAGCAGGAGGGACTGGAATGGGGAGGGGAAAGCGGGCAAGGAGGAAGTGGGAAAAACTGGAGCAGGGCTTGGGAGGACAGGACGGACCAGAGGCCATGACGGGGAAGGGGCTGGGGGTAGGACTGCAGAGCTCCGGGCCCAGGCCAGGAGGAAGCCACCAGCTTCCTGCCCACTCACCTGACCCTGATTTCTCCCAGATTAAGGTCGAGGAAGACTTTGGCTTCGAAGCGGATGAGGCCCTGGATTCCAGTTGGGTTTCTCGGGGGCCAGACAAACTGCTGCCCTACCCAACACTAGCCAGCTCCCCCTTTGACTGATCCCCCAATAAACTCACCCTTCCGTGCACCTTGGCTACTGTCTACTGTTCCCACCTGTAATTACACATACTCCCAGGTTCTGCAGTTGGCTTTCACATTTTTATTGGGGATCCAAGGAGAGGGGTCTCTCCCTGTCAATGGAGGTTGCTCACAGTTTCTTCAGCCACTCCAAGCTGCGGCCCTGGGGATCCTGGGGGTGGCTGGGCACATCGGGCATGTTCCCATCGTCCCGGACGGGCACTGGGGACAGAAGGTTGGGCCACTGAGACCAGCAGATCTCTGGGGGCCCACAAAGAGGGACCGATCTGTTCAGTTTATAGTCAAAGAGGAAACAGGACCCTGGGGTAGAGATAAGAGTGTGATGGCCAGAGTGAGACATGCAGATGCAGAGACATGGAGGAAAGAGGGAGGTGGATACAGAAAGACATCTAACAGAGCTAAGGAAATAGAAGACAAAGACCTGGAGAGACCCAGGAAGCAGCACAGATGGCAACCCAAGGACAGCAGGAAACTGAAGTGCAAAATTGGACAGGAAGTGAGTTTCATGGCATATGAATTCCATCTCAGGACAAAGAAAAGAAAAAAAGGAAGTCCAGACTGCACTGCAGATCTCAGGGCCTAGCTGAGGAAAGCCCTGCCCAGAGTTACCCCCCACACCCAGCGAGGTCCCCACTTACCTGGGTAGGTGTAGGGTGTGACCTGGTTGATCATGATGGAATACTTGGTATAGGGGCTCAGAGGGGGCAGAATTACAGCTGTGGAGAGACACAGGCATGAGGCAGGTGGGGGAAGGGGAAAAGTTGAACCTTGGCAAAGTTGGGGTCAAATGCACGGGGAGGAGGGCAGTAGGGCATGACCTGGTTGATCGTAACAGCATACTTGGTATAGGGGATCGGTGGGGGTGGGGGTGGGGGTGGGGCAGAATTACAGCTGTGGAGAGACACGGGTGAGGCTGGGGGGAAAGGGGAAAAATTGAACCTTGGCAAAGTTGGGGTCAGATGCATGGGAGGAGGGCAGCAGGGAGGTTCAGCACTCCCAGGAGGCCCCTTGGCACCATGGGACCCCCTCCCCGCCATAAGAAGGGTTGAAACCTCTTATTGGAGGAGGGACCCAAGTACTCATGGATAGTGAGACACAAAGCAGGTATGTGGGGGTGAGCAGGGAGTGAGTGCAGAGGGCCATGGCACATGGATGGGCAGTGTCTTGAGAAAGTTCCAGAGAAATCATGAACTTACAAACTGAGGGAGAGAGGATTGCACAAAGAATAGTTGCTGAGAAATTACACTCCAACCAGAGTAGGAGCTAGGAGTTTTGGGGGGTGGGGTAGGGTGTACAAAAGGTATGTTCTAGGCCAGTGCTGTCTCATAGAAATAGAGCGCCACATATATAATTTTACATTTTCTACCTGCCACATTAAAAACATCTAAAAGACACAAAATTAAAGTATATTTATAACTGAAATGTCCAGAAACATTTCAACACTAAAACTTTGATATTTACATATACTTTAAACCACAAATCTTTGAAATCCAGTGTACACTTTACACGAGCATAGCACTGGACCATCTCAATTCACACCAGCCCCATTTCAAATGCCTGTTGCAAAAGAGACAGCTGTGTTCTAGAACAGAACCCCCTATCTGTGTGGGGCCTGTGCACTGGCAGTGTTGACAGCACCTGGGAACTTGCTGGAAATGCAGAGTCCCAGGCCCCACCCAAGACCTACTGGATATTAACAAGAGCCCTCAACAGGACCCAAAGGAACACCAAGTATGAGCAGCTCTGTTGTAGAAGGGCTGGATCCGGATATAATCTTTGAATTTAAGAGATTGTTTTTCAAGCTCGGCCTCCTGAGAGGGATGATGGACGGCTCCGGTTTATGGGGTGGGGGAAGCCAGGGGACGTCGTGAGGTGTTGGCACCGGGTGAGGGCACAGCGTTGAGGGCGGCGAGGGGGCCTGGCGGGTACAGGATGGAATGCCAAGGGGAGGAACCTTGGGGGGGCGGAAGGTGAAGCCAGGACGCCAGCGGGGGCGACGCACATTGGCGCCTGGAGCACTCACGCACCGAGGCCCGCAATGGTGAAGGACGCGACCAGCACCGGCTCCTTGGCCCAGGCGTTCTTGAGGAAGGCGGCCAGTCCTGGGGAGGCGGGGAGGGAGGGTCACCCCTGCGCAGCGTGCCCCGGTGACCTCTAACCCTCCCCTCCATTCCCGCCCTGGGGGAGGCCTCTAGTGACCTCTGCACCCCCCTCCGGCCGGACCCCACCATCCTCACAATGTCTCCGCCACAACCTGCACCCGCCACAGCTCAGGGTTCCGGCAGCCACCCCTCGCCGCGGCGCTCACACTTACTCCCAGCCATCTTGGTCTCGGCGGCGGCGGCGGCGAGGCGCGGAGCACCCTGGGAGTTGTGGTCCCTGCGAGCCAGGCGCTGCCGTCCGGGTCCGCGTGTGCGCACTAGCACACAGCGGCGGTCGTAGGCGGTGGCGAGGGCGCGGGGCACCCTGGGAGTTGTGGTCCCTGCGCGTCAGGCCCCGCAGAGTAGGCGCGTGAGTACTCGCGCAGAACCGTAGTCCCACGCGGTGACCAGACCGCGGCGCAACCTGGGAGTGGTGGTCCCGGCCGGTGAGGCGCTGCCGCCGCCGCCTGACCCCGCGCGTGCGCAGGACGCAGACCAGCGGCCTAGGCGGAGGGCGGAAAGATGGCGGCGCCCCAGGGCGGGTCCAGTGCTCACCTGCCTCGGCCCACCTACCGCCGCGCTCTCTCAGCCGAGAAGCCGCTCCGGAGGACACACTCCCAGTACTTCTGCCGCGACCCTCCTGAAACAGGATGCAAGGGTGGCGTGTCACAGTTGACTGTGGAAACCCATTTTTTTAAATTTTTTTTTTATAGAGGCATGTTTTATTTATTTATTTGTTTATTTTGTTTATACAAGCACTGGGTACAGTCAGAAGCGCGGGAGGGGGAGAGAATTCACCAGAGCCAGAGCGGGGAGCAGAGCAGGCAGAAGGACCGAAGTACACTGCTGAGGGGAGCAGCGGGCGGCAGGAGAGGTCTGCGCGCCATGTGGGACCCTCCTCCGGTGGCCGGGGAGCAGCCGGGGATCGAACCGGCGCCGCAGAGGCTGCGGGCAGCTTCGCAACCCAGCGCTCAACCGCTGTGCCACCGGGGAGACCATGGAAGCCCATTTTGCAGAAGGAGAAACGGAGGCTGGGAGAGGGCGAATGGCTGACCTGTCATTTGAGGTGGCAGCTCAACACGGGCTCTATCCCCGAGGATGGGGGTACTTCTGTGCATCTAGACAACGCCCTATGCGACCCTCATTATGTAACAGGGTGGTCCCCAGGAAAGGGGGAGGTTCCCTGCCCCACCCAAGCGAGGGTGGAGCTGAGCAGGGAGAGGAGAAGCTGCAGAAGAGACTGAGGAAGGAAGCAGGATGGAGCCAGGAGACCTGGAGGAGGCGCATGGAGCCTAGAGACACGTGAAGAAACTGCGCTTGTCTTTTGGTCGTGGACGGGGTGACACAGATGTGGGTGAGACCGGTGGGGAGGTGACCATGGCAGCTTTTATCTTGATGTTGATTTTGCTCTTTTCCTTCCGGGCTTGTCCAGTTGTTTGTGACCCTTTTCTGTGGGTCCCCACTGGAAGATGCTTTAGACTTGTGGCAGGCTTTGGGGCCTTGCTCTGGGCCAATCCCATATGGATGGACTTTTACCCACGAGGGGACGGGTCACTTTGGGTGCTTCATTGAGAAACTAGACTCTTTGCCTTACCTGTATTGTTTCCTAGTTTTATTAAAGTTCCTTCCCATTAAAGTCTCCTATGTTTTGTGTTGATGCGGCGGATGGCAGAACCCATGTAGAATAGGCAGGTTTGCGGGGTTTGGGCTGCCCCTCTCCCTGTCCTATAACAATTACAGCTCCCGTCACTTAAAAAAAAAAACAAACTCATCTTGTTAGGGGGAAAAGGCTGTCCTAAAGCTAATCCCATACAGGCTTTGTGGACTCCACCCCCACCCCAGGCCAAAGCCAAAGACACTGGGAACTCCAAATCCCATCCCCACCAAAGGGAAGGTGGCTGGGACCTGAGGGTGGGGTTTAGCAGCCAGGTTGGTATAAAGCCAGACACTGGGCTTTGGGGGGGGGGGTTCCCCCATTTTGGCTCTCTGCCAGCTCGCAGCATCCGGCCAGCTCTGAGAGTGCCTTTGGGTTTCCAGGCCGGCGGATCGGGTAGGACGCATTAAAGACTTTATTTCCCTATTTTCTCCCTGAGTTGTACATTTTCCTTATTTCCTTTTCCCTTGTAAATAAACCCTTTATTAACCTTTTGTGTGTGCCTGCAGTGGAGTATTCATAAGTCCCTTTTAAGCACGCAGGTGAGGACCCACAGCCAGGCAACCCGTTCAATATAGGGGCTGCCTAAAACAATCTGTCTAGGTCCCATCTATGTCTCCATCAGATGGGGAGCTGCTTGAGGGCAGTAATGGCATCTGATTCATCTCTGCTCCCAGAATTGCGCAGCAGGTCTGGCATATAGGTGCCGGTTGGAAAAAAAGGGGGAGGACTCTGGTGGCGCATGTGGTTGACAGCAGCGCTGTGAAGCTGTCCGCAGCCTCGTTAGCATGGGTTCCAGCCCAGCGGCTGGAGCTACCCACATGGTGCAGCAGACCTCTCCTGTCTCGCCCGCTGCTTCCCTCAGCAGTGTATTTCAGTCAGTCTGCCTGTTTCTGCTCCTTGCTCTTTCTCTGGTGAATCCTCTCACCTTCCGCACATCTTGACCTGTATCCCGGATCCTGTATGCATGAATAAATAAATCTTTAAAAAAAAAAAGAAAAGAAAAGGGGGAAGGTATAATGAATTAACACCACCAGTTATGACTACCCTTGCCTCCTGATATTTTCCCACAGTACCATGGGGCTGTGACACAACCACCCAGCCCGTCCCCTCCCCAGCACGGTTCCCTTCCTAAGCAGGCCTCTGACTTTGATGAGTTCTCATTTCCTGGAAGAGGGGAAGGTTGGCTCAGCCCTGGCTCCTGCTCCTGCTCCTGCTCCAGCCAATACCTGCCCATCATGGCCCTCCTGCTGATTCTTCAGCTGCTGACCTGCTGTGAGCCACCCCTTCTTCCAGAGGATGGGAGTGCAGAGTCCTACACTCTGATGTGGGCGGGGATGGAAGTCAGGACACCAGAGTTCCTGGTGAAGGAAGGAACTGGGGCCCACACTCCTGAACCCCACGGAGAAGAAACTGTGAGCTCAGATTATTGTCTCCTGGAAAAGGTCTGGCCTTTTCCAAGGGCCTGACCTCAGGTACAGAGACAAGAGGGGGCTGGGTCCAAACTTCTGGCTTCTTAAGTAGGTGGGGGCGGGAAGTCTGGATTTAAAACACCCAGGCGAGGACAAGGGTGGGTAAGATCCCTGTTTCCCAGAGCAAAGAGAGTCTGGGGACTTAGATTCCTGGGTTTCCAAAGAAGTGGTGCTGGGAGCTGCCCAGGGCTTTGAGGAAACCTAGCCCCTCAACCTTCTCTAGGGCCTCTGTGTCACGCAGACATCACTCCGACTGGTGAGTAAAATCCCCCATCGGGTCTCTTGTGCTTCGCTGACATCCCCTTTCCAACGACTCAGATTTTATTTTGGTGCCAACCTCACCCCAGATTTCCTTATCTACCTCGCTTCCTCCTCCCTTCCTAGTTTTCCTTTCTTCCTTTTGTTGTTTCCTCCCCCCCCCACCCCCCACCCCGGTTTCTCTTTTCTTTCATCTTCCCTCCCCTCTCTTCCCCTCCCCTCTTTCTTTTTCACCTCACTCCGGTTAGTGTCCTCTGGGGGTGAGGACTGAAGACCATCCACTTTGGAGCTATAGACTTAACCTGGAACCCCTTTTTCACTGCCTTAATCACTTTAACAAACCTCTGCAAGCTAAGACTCAGCGTCCTTCTCTGTGAGATGGGCTGTTGTGAGGATCTGATAAAATCACAGGTATGAAAGCTTTCACTCAGAACTTCACATACTGCGGGGCACAAGACAGAGGACCTCCCTTTTCACGAGTGTCGGGCCCTCCGCCTGGGTTTCTTTCTAGGTTTTCTGATGGCTGAGACCGCTCCTTTCTCTCAAACCTCACGCCCCACACACTACAACTTCAGATAAGAATCTCCTAGAGAACAATCGATTACCTTAGCTGTCAATTTATGTTAAATGATCATTTCCAATGATAAAGCTGATGTGTATTCACTGTTTGAAAATTAAGAAATCACAGACTTTTCCTTCCTCATCTTTCGTAAATAAGCTCTGAGCCCTCACCGAGAATTTCCAGGCATTTAAACATGCAATTGTACTTCTCTATTTTCTGACTCATACCGTTTTACCGCTTACATTTTTCAGCCCACAATCTCTCTTGAAGATACTCCCGTGTCATGATAGCTACCTGTTTTTCTTTTTTAAAAAACTGCTGTCTAGCATTTGCCAATATTTGGCTGGATTCTAGTTTATCTGGTTTTTCTGTAGCTTTAGGTGGTTTCCAATCCACACACACACAATCGCTGCTGCAGCCAGTGCCCCTGTATGAAGTTTTCATACCCATGTGTCTTTGTGTGGAGTGGAGCGGGGGAGTCATTAGACCATGGGTCATGTGCTTTGTATATCCTGCGAGAAATGGACAAAATGCCTTCTAAACACGCACTCAAGTGCACCAAAGTACCTTTTTTCATTGTCTCTTCACCCCAAATGTGCACTAACAATTGTTTTCATTTTTTAAAAAATGGTAGGTGAGGGCCTCCCCGGTGGCGCAGCGGTTGAGCGCTGGGTTGCGAAGCTGCCTGCAGCCTCTGCAGCCGGTTCGATCCCCGGCTGCTCCCCGGCCATCGGAGGAGGGTCCCACATGGCGTGCAGACCTCTCCTGCCGCCCGCTGCTCCCCTCAGCAGTGTACTTCGGTCCTTCTGCCTGCTCTGCTCCCCGCTCTGGCTCTGGTGAATTCTCTCACCCTCCCACGCTTCTGACTGTACCCAGTGCATGTATAAACCAAACGGACAAATAATAAATAGGTAAGTAAATAAGACATGCCTCTAGAAAAATTAATAAAATAAAAAATGGTAGGTGAAAATATCCTTCAGTTGTTTTAATATTTTAAAAATAACTAAATACGTGTAAGCTATATTTTAGAAGACATATTAATATAAAGTAGGAGTATGTAAGCATTTTAAACTACTAAAGTATCATGGATGTTTTTAAAGATTACTACTAAAGTTGGGCAGTCCCCACCACCAATGTGTTTTGGTCAGCTGGCTTCCATCTGTGAATTACCTTGCCCAGCTTTCACTTGGATTTTGTTCTGTACTCTTCGTGTATGAGATTTATAAGTCATGTCCATCAGTACTGTCTTTTCAGCTTAATTTCTTGGGTCTTTTATCATACACACCTTAAAAATTTTGAAGTGGTCAAAAATATTAACCTAGAACCTTCTGAAGTTTTCATTTTCTATTTTAAGACAACCAGCCCTATCCCCAAGACATATTTTCCTCTTCAATATATTTCTTGCTAATACTTCAGTTGTTGAAAAAGCACCTGTAGGTCTTTAATTAATATGGACTTTGCTGGGGGACTGGTGTGATCTATGGCTCCAACAACAGGTACCAAGTTTTGGCAAATGTTGAAAGATGGCAAGTAAGTCACAGCGTAGAAAGACACTGATAATTGCGGATTTCTGGGGCCCAACCTCTTGTAACTATGCTTAAAAACTGCAGAGTAGGGCTCAGGAATTAGTGCCCTACTTGATTTGCGGCTAGTTTTGTCAAGCCACAATTGGGGCCCCGCACCTCCCCTATTTTACAGTCCAGGACCTGAGGGTAAGAAAGGGGCAGTGACTGTGCCAGGTGCTGTACCTCCTCCCTCAACTTCCCCTCCATTTCCTGGTGCTCCAGGCAGTCAGAGAATCCAGAGCACCCATTTATTCAGTCCTCCCAGATTCATACCCCAAGCCATGGCTGGGGGTTCAGCCAGCTGCAGTTGTGACCCCAGGGGTGAATGTGACCTTGAGGTGCCAGGCACCCCAACCTGCCTGGAGGTTTGCGCTCTTCAAGTCTGGAGATACCACAGTGCACCAGAACGTGTCCCAGGCGGTGGCAGAGTTCTTCCTGGAGGAGGTGACCCCGGCCCAGGGGGGCCGTTACCACTGCTGCTACCAGAGGCCAGGCTGGGGGCATGGTCTCTGGTCCCAGCCCAGCGATACCCTGGAGCTGCTGGTGACAGGTGAGGTCCTGGGGTGGGGGACGAGAAGGCACACAGGGGTGGTATGTGGGCCGGAGAGGAGGGTCAGAGAGATACAGGAAGGGAGAGAGAAGCAGAGAAACAGGACTGATTCTTCAGCATAACTGACGCTGTCCCCCAGGGGCTCTTTGGCAGTAAATCTGGAGGCATGTTTGCTTGTCACAATGGGCACTGGGTGGTGGAGCTGGCATCCAGTGCGTAGAGACCGGACATGCTGCCCAGCATCCTGCAGTGCACAGTTCAGCTCCCCGCCCCCCAACGATGAATTATCCAGATATGTCCAAAATGTCCCCAGTGCTGACACTGAGACGCCCTGGGGGGGGGGGCACATAGGAACACAAGGAGAGAAAATCAAAGACCCAGGGCGCGGGACACCCATGCACGGGAGCCCAAATCAAAGACACCCAGAGGGAGGTTAGGCGCGGTTTGGGGAAGGGGTGTGAAGTGGGGCGAGGGGCACCGCCAGGCGGGGAGGGGCGGACGGAGGCCGGGCAGGGGCGGGCGCCGGCAGGCCGGGGTGGCCAGCGTCCTGTCGTCCTCCCCAGACGAGCTGCCGCGCCCGTCGCTGGAGGCGCAGCCGGGGCCGGTGGTGGCGCGCGGGGCCAACGTGAGCCTGCGCTGCGCGGGGCGCCTGGGCGGCATGAGCTTCGCGCTGTACCGCGAGGGCACGCGGGCGCCGCTGCTCTACCGCCGCTCGGCGCTGCCCTGGGCCGACTTCCCGCTGCCCGCGGCCCAGGCGCCCGGCACCTACAGCTGCTACTACCACACGCCGGCCGCGCCCTACGTGCTGTCGGCCCGCAGCCCGCCGCTGGTCGTCCGCTCAGAGGGTGAGGGCCCAGCGCGCCGCCAGCTTCCCCCCCAGACCCGGGGTCCAGGCCCCCCCCTCCCCTGGCCTCCTCCCTCAGACCCCCGGAGCCCAGGCCCCCTTCCAGCCGTCCCCTCAGCTTTGAGACTAGGAGTTGGGCCCCCAGCTCTGCTCCGGAGGTTAGAGACCCAGAATACTGGGTGCCGCAGATGGGTGCCCTGCAGTGACCGTCTCTCTCCCCTGCTGGACCCCAGACTCCTTGGACTACACCCGGGGGAACCTCGTGCGCCTGGGGCTGGCCGGCCTGGTGCTCATCGCCCTGGTCACCCTGGTGCTTGCTGACTGGCGCAGCCGGCCCGAAGCCCCACAGGACTGGATCTAGACACCTGCAGGGGGAGATTTCCCAGAGTGGCAGCCAGGAGCACCGACCGCCAGGGGCTCTGCAGCCCTGAGACTCCAGCGTCCTGAGCAAGAACCACATGGACCCTGCTGGCTGTGCACGGGTGCATCTTCCTTCTGGGTCATCAGTTACGTCTTTCTAGACAGAAGACCTGAGTTCAAATCCCGTTGTGCTGCTCTACTCACTGTGGGCTACTAGGAGACAGACTTCCCCAAAACTTGCATGCCTGACCTGAAAAATGGGTGCACTGAGAATACCCACTTTTCAGAATTGCTGTAGTTAGTGGACAACGCACATGAAAGTTTAAAACATAGTGAATGCTCAATAAATGTTAGCCACGACAGAGCAGCGGTCCACAGCAACCTCGCAGGAGCTGCGTGCAGGATCTGCTTCCCTAGGACTCCCCTGCTCCCCGAGTCCCCATCCATCCACTTATCACACAATCGTCTTTGTTTTTTTTCTTTGACTCATATTATTTCCCCCCTCCGCCACTGCTTAAATCTCTTTGACCCTTTCTCCCTTCTGCTTTCTCTTAACCTCAGAAGACTCACCTCTTTATTAGTGTCCATTAGTTTTTGTAAATACTTTGCGCTGTCTTATCGTCCCCTGTGTAAAATTCAGTGTTTGTCTTTGTCATTCTGACCTGCTTTACTGCGCATAATTCCCTCCAACTCCTTCCACTTTGCTGTGAGCAACAGCTGCATGGCAGCTCGCTGTATGCACAGACCCCATCTTTCCATCCAGGCCTCTACAGTGGGCGCTCAGATCCCTCCCATGTCCTAGCTATTGTAAATAGTGCAGCAATAAACATGTGGAGCACATAATTTTTGCGTTGATGGCTTCGTGTTTTGGGGGGAGTTTCCCAAAAGTGATTGCTGGGTCACACGGTGTTTCCATTTGTCCTTTTTAAAGGTGAATCCAGATTGCGCTCCAAAATGGCTGCACCAGTATCACATGCCATTTAATGCCACCAGATGCGAGGCACTCTGCCAGGAGCTGGGGATACTACAGGGAGTAACAGAAACCATAAAGTCTGCCGCTGTGAAGCTCACAGAGAAATGCATGAACCAAAGCACAACTCACTGTACGATGAGGGCGCACTTTAAGCTGTTGTGACAAAGAGCTCCTCTACCCTATGGGAAAACATCCACATAAACATTTCTTTCTCCCACTTACCAGTACACAGTTGAGCGGGAGACGGTGTTGCTTTTACCAACATGCAGGTCAGAATCACACCTGGGTCTGAGCCAGCAGGAAAAGAGGAGGGGAGTTGAGGTCACACAATAATTTTTCAAAGCAGGACCGAGAATTTGAACCCATCTCTTCGGTTCACATTCTGTTACCCAGAACTTAGTCACCCAGCCAGGTCGAGCTGTAAAAGTGACTGGGGAAAAAAGTGGTCTACGGTGTGTCCCCTTCTAAAAATGGGGGGAGGGGTACATTACTTAAAGGAAGAAGGGAACTTGGGGGTACTGAGACACTATTAATCATCTCCACCATTACAAATATAGCAAAAGAAGGAGGGGGGAGCTTTGAAAGTCTATAACAGGAAGGTTTGTTCTAACCACAGAGCAAACTGTGGCTGAAGAAGTGATGTGAGATCAGAATGTGGAGCAGATGTTAACTGCTCCATGGATGAAGGGAGGCCAGGCAAAAGGAACAGCATGTACAGAGGCAAAGGGAACAGCATGTGCAGAGGACCTGTGGCAGATGAAGCAAGGTGACTGTGGAGAGGCACTGAAAGACTGAAACAGGGTATAATGATGAGAGAAAATGAGTTAGAGGAAGGCTCCGCTATACTGAACTTTGCTAAATAATAGCAAGACCCGTGCAGGGCATGTGTTATTTGGAGGGAAACTTGACACATACAGCCCTGGTGCTCATGGAGACTAGAGCTCTACAAAGGGTTTCCTGGTGAAGTCCTAGATGAAATTGTCTTTGCAGGTGTGCCTTCTTGGATATGCATTAAATACTTATTGTTCTCTCTAAGTGGGCTTGATGACCGAACCTTCTAGATTTTTCCATGTGCATGTCAGTCTTTCCCCATCTGTGGGACCCACCATTTACATTGTGCCTACATTCCTTCTACACCTCGCCACATGTGAAATGTGGCTCCTGGCCCCCCCCGAAGAGCCCCTCCCCACCAACATCTGGATGAAGAGGTTGATTTTACTGAAGATTTTGTGGAAGATGGTGAGGAGACACATTACTGTCAGCAACTTACAAACCCCTCACAAACATGTCTCTTCTGCCAAGTGGATTCCTTTTCTCTTACGTTCTTTAAGAACCTGTTGTTTCACTCTCTTCGACTCTCACTTCCCCATATCTCTGCAATATCTCATCTTTTCGAGTCAGCTCTGTCGTTGGTCCAACCCACAAACGTCCGTTCTCTGGGCATAACTGGAGTGTCATTTCCACTCACATCTGGTCTACCGAGAAGAATAGCAGTTCTCTGTGGAAGAGGAACATCTCTTTATTCTGGAGTGCCTGGGTCCAGCCACATTCTGTCACCGTGTAGAAGGGGCAGTGGATGTTAAGATTCACCTAGCGACTTCTCAAATACTTGGCACACTCTCAAAGAGGACTTCGAAGCCACCGGTCTGAACTCTGTGTTAATGTAAGCCTGCGCAATGTGGTTGCGAGCCTGTTGCAATAGCTGCTCATCACTTCCTGGTTGTGACGAGGAGACAAGTGTGGAAATGTGAGAGCGGAGGGTCAAAAGCCAAAGCGAAGCCGTTCCTGCATATCCCGGAGTCAAGAGACAGTAAAAGAGGAGGGAGATCCTTGGGGGAAGTTAGAGGGCTGCCATGCTCCCCCTATTCCTGACTCTGCTCTTCACTGGTAAGACTTGGGGGGAAGGAGGGTCATTGCAAGTGGTGGTGGTTGGGCTGTGGAGGCAGCCGAGTTGGTGAGAATCGTAGGTAAGGGGGAGGACGGGTAAGCAAAGACTAGAAACTTCAGTTTCCTGTATGCCGGAGTCCAGCTCCAGTGAACAGGGTTGAGAGAGGAATCCAAAAGAACCAAGGAATAAGGAAATGACAGACACAAAACAGATTTTAAGAGAAGCGGGACCCAGGGGACACAAGGCCTCTCACTCTGTGCTGAATGCAGATTCTGGGCTGCACAGTTCCGAAGACCATAGGTTTTCCACTGAGCCAAACACTGAGGTCATAATTTGGGGTCGTTAGGGTGGAAATGTTGGGAGGATGAATGCATGGATTCATGGCTGTGAAAAACCCCAAGAAGGGGTGTAAACGGTGAATCCAACGATAGGAGGGGCCGGAAAGTTTTTCTACGTAAAGACCAGGTAGCAGGCTGTGTGACCACGCTGTCCCTGCTGCAACTGCTCAACATCCGTAGGACTATCCGTCATCAAGAGGAGGAGATAGTGAGTGTGGGCCAGGATGTGGAGAGATGGACACCCTCATAGACTGTTGGTGGGAATGTAAATTGGTGCAGCCACTACAGAAAGCAGCACGGAGGTTTCTCAAAAATTGAAAAACAGAACCACCATAGGAGGCATCCATCCCAGCTCTGGGTGATTATCTGTAGGACAAATCAGTCTCTGGAAGAAACACTTACACACATGTTCACAACATGCAGCATTATTCACAGCAGCCAAGCAATGGAAACAATCTAAGTGCACCAACAGGTAAACGGATAAAGAAAACGCGGCATCGAGGCACAATAGAGAATTATTCAGCCACAAGAAAGAATGAAATTCTACCATTCACAACAACATGGATGGACTCCGAGGGCATTGTGTCAAGTGAGATAAGTCGGAGGAAGACAGATAGTGTGCGACTTTGCTTACGTGTGGAATCTTTAACAGCGGATCTCATAGAAACAGAGCAGAGCGGTGGTTTCTCAGCAGAAGAGGCTGTGGGAATGAGGAAATGTTGGTCAGACACACACTTCCAGCTATGAGATGAGTAAGATCTGGGGGGCTAGTGGACAGCATGGTAACTACCATATCATGTACTTGAAAGTTGCTTTAAAAAAACAAAAACAAACCCACCGATTACCCTCGTGATGACCACCTTTCCCAGCAGAGCGGCTGTGATAAGCCAGGTGCGCCCGAGCACCCGCGCGGATGGCTGGCGACACACCTCGCAGCGTCATTTTGATCCATCCCAGGTGGGGGATGTGTGCTCCCTCCTTCCAAGTGCTATCAAGTTTAGATTTTTGACATTTACTCTGGGCACCAAGGAAAACATGCTGGTGACTGCAATGCCCGAGGTGCCTTTTCGCGAACCCAAGGGCAGGAAGGCGGGTGGCATATATGCACGAGGGAGCCGGTGCAGGGAAAGGAGGACGCGTTTTGGCTGTTCTAGAAGAGCAGAGCAAGGGGAGCGAGGAGGACAGATGTTTAAAGGTTAGGTCCACGAGGTGGGCAGGAGAGAGCGGTGCCACAGCTTGTTCTGGCGGGCTGTGCCCGGCCATGCTCAGGCTGTTTACTGCCCAGCTGGGAATATGCGGATCTCAGCCATCCCCCAAGACAATTAATCAGAACTTAAGACCTTGCCTGGTGCCTTTGGCCAGTCTCGTGGGCCAAGATGTTTGGACACACAGAGAGTAGGAGCTACCGGTCAGTGATTTAAACCACCTGCCCACAAGGAATCCCAGGAGCTGAGTCCCAGATTTCATCTCCCCGTTTAAACAGGGCCCTGGGCAACTCAGCAGGGCCCAATTCCCTTGTTCAAAGGCAACGCACGTCTCACTGACTTGCTGTTTCTTTCACCGGGACTGCCTCGATACCCCTCAATAACATGCACTGCAATTAAATAAAACCCAGATACACTAGAAGACTAAGATGGATAAAGGATGGATGGTGGGAGCAATAGGTAGGTTCTGGGGCACAATGACAGAATCCTGGGGGCACTATGAGGGGAGAGGAATGTGGGGTGGTGACGGGGGACAACGTGAGAAATGAATGACTGCGCCTGGCCGCCAGACGTCCACGCCCTGACTCCTGGGAGCTGGGGTCTGTTCCTTCCCGTGGCAGAGGGGAACTGAGGTGGAAGATGGAATTCCAGCTGCGGGTCAGTTGGCCCCGTGGTGGCCTGTCAGTCCTGGGTTATCTGGCTGGTCCCTGGGTGACCCTATGGGTCTTCAGGGCAGTACAGAGAGGAGGAGCAGGTCAGACTCACCCACCAGGGCTGGCTTCAAAGATGGAAGAGCCACCAGGTAAGGAATGGGGTGTCTCTAGAAGCTGAAAAGGGCAGGAAAAGGAGCCCCCGCCTGGAGCGCCCAGAGGAAGGCATCTGCCAGCAGCTGGATTTTTGCCCAGTGTCACTGAACTTCTCTAAGCTACGGCGCTGCTCACTAGCGGGAGCCTGTTTTTATAAGCCACAGTTTTGTGGCCACTGGTCACAACACAATAGATTCTGCTGCCACATGGGTTCAGGGCAGAGCCGGGATGGCAGGAGAATGTGATGCAGGTGACAGGCTCCAGCGGGTCCCGCCTCACGGCCGATGATTCCTCTGCAGGGCTGCGCATGGGCCAAGGAGACACAGGAGGCCACGGTGAGTGTTTCCTCTACCAGACTCTGCTCCTGCCCTTCCCTCCCACCCTCCACCGGGCCTCCGGGGAGCAGGTGAGGACACGGAAGCCAGCCCTGGTCTCTGCTTCCTCCAGGGCCCCTTCCCAGGCCCTCCCTCACGGCCTGGCCCAGCGCGGTGGTGCCTGAGGGTGGTGACGTGACGCTGACATGCCGCGCGCCCATCGGGGACCCAGGAGAGTTTGTTCTCAGAAGGGGAGGATACACAGTGGTGGAAGTGCCCCCACCTGACTGGACAGAGGGCCTGGCCAAGTTCAGCCTCACTGGGCTAAAAGCCAGTCAAGCTGGAGAGTACACCTGTCACTACCAGACAAGAAAGAGGCCCCGAGAAACATCACCGCCCAGTGAGGCCCTTCTACTCCTGGTGACAGGTGAGGACACTGGGTCTTCTCAGGGGTGGGGGTGAGGGAGGAGCCAGAGACAGAGAGGGAGGCAAGGACGCCCCTGCAGCGCAGTTGGGGGGCTGGGGAGGGACAGGGCCAGAGCTGCTGGTGCCGTGTACCCAGGGCCTGCATGGGGCAGAAGTGCTTCCTGGTGGCCCCATTCGAGATGAGAAGGGGCACCCTTGCTCATGGTGTCCAGGAGTCGTTGATGTGGCCACATGGATATCAGGTTATGCTTCCATCACAGTAAGCTGATTGCAGTGGTGACAATGAGACCTGTGACATTTTTGCTATCCAAAAAATAAATAAATAAAAAATTAAAAAAAAAAAGAAGTGCTTCCTGGAGCTGGAGTGGACGAGCCCGGGGCCAGGCGTCTGCACCTCCTCCTCCCTGAGACCCCGCCAGGAGCACAGGGTGACCCCGGAGCCTTCTTGTCTTTCAGGTTTTTACAATAAACCTTCCCTCCAAGCCCACCCACGGGGAGAGGTGACCGCAGGAGAGAACGTGACCCTGCAGTGCCAGTGGCCACGCAACATGACTGAGCTGACACACTTTGTTATACTGAAGGCAGGAGAGTCAACACCACCCACCCAGGTCTCCACTTCACACGAGAGGGGAACCCGCTTCTCCCTTCCGAAGGTGACAGCCAGTGACAGCGGGAACTACAGCTGTGTGAGCCACATGACCAGGACTCCATTCCGGGCCTCGCTCCCCAGTGAGTCTGTCTCCATCCAGGTGACAGGTAAGGCTCTGCATCAGTTGGGGGATGTTTCCTTGATGTGACAGGAACGTGTCTGCTCTGCCACCCTGATTCTCCTTTCTCTGTCACTTGCGCTGTCCTCTCTTTGCAACATCTTGCTTCCACTCCCTTGTCCTTTTTTTTTTTTTTTAAAGATTTATTTATTTATGCCTACAAGAACTGGGGTACAGGTGAGAGGTGTGATGATGAGAGGATCCCCCAGAGACAGTGGGGTGTGAAACAGGCAGATCAACTGAAATGCACTGCTGAGAGGAGCAGTGGAGAGACAGGAGAGGTCTGCTGCACCACGTGCTGTGCGTCAGCTTCCTGGCCAGGGATCAAACTCAGGCCACAGTGGCTGGTGATAGCTTGAGAGAGCTGAAACTTAACCCCTGTGCCACCAGGGAAGCCCCAGGAATGGGCTTTTGAGACACAGACCAGGTCCAATTCCTGCTCTTGCCTCTCCTTTGTCTTTGAGGAGGCCTGGCTGTGCCTCCATTTACGTGTCTCCCATTACTTAAGAGATTCTAGCAACATTTGGCAGGAAGCACTATATATTACCCGGATGCAGAAGGTGGCAGATTGGTCAGCTGGGATGGAGTTGACTTGGGACTCACATCTCCAGCTTGCAGAGACAAGTCTTTTCTGAACAAAAGCAACATCAGCAGGGGCGGTTCAGTGCATGGATGTAGATGAAGAGACACAGAAACTTGCAGTTTCAGACATGCTGATAATTTCTTTGGGGGACCCGCTGGCCAAGTAAGGGCTATGAGCCCACACACACTTTGCAGGAGTTGAAAATGATTGTAAAGACCACAGCTTCACAAAACTCTGTAAAACTCAAAGAACTTGGTGCTGCCCCCAGACCAGGCAGCTCCTGGAGGACCACGCTCGACGGCTGATCTGGTGGGAACTGGTCTGAGCTATTCTGTGGGGGGATAAATGGGCCCGCTGGTCAGGGAAGGGGACACGCTGATGAACAGGACTGCTTTGGAACCAGGGCCCCAGAAGTTGGTGGGGGAGGGCTTCTATCAACCTGTCAGCATTGATTCGGGAAAGTGGGGGTGAGGACACGCAGGGGCTGCTGCAGCTGAGACACCAGCAGGCTCCGACACGGGACTCTGCAGCCCCCGCAACACGCGCGCCAGTCCAGGGCCTGAAGGATTAAGGAACCCCAAAAATAATTCATTTTGGCTTTCCTTGCTCCCAACATGGAAAACGCACCCGTGCAGCCCTCAAAAGAGGAGCCCCTGATCCTTTTTGCCAGGGATGCTTCTGCTCATCTTCAAGCTCTCACTACTCCATTGTCTCTGTTCTACACTCAGCAGATGCTCAGCATTGCCCTCTGGGGGCCTATGGGTCTTCTTTGTTTTTGTTTTGTTTTGTTTTTTATAGAGGCATGTTTATTTATTTGTTTGTTTGTTTGTTTTTGTTTATACAAGCACTGGGTACAGTCAGAAGGGCGGGAGGGTGAGAGAATTCACCAGAGCCAGAGCGGGGAGCAGAGCAGGCAGAAGGACCGAAGCACACTGCTGAGGGGAGCAGCGGGCGGCAGGAGAGGTCTGCGCGCCATGCGGGACCCTCCTCCGGTGGCCGGGGAGCAGCCGGGGATCAAACCAGCGCTGCAGAGGCCGCGGGCAGCTTCGCAACCCAGCGCTCAACCGCTGCGCCACCGGGGAGGCCCTATGGGTCTTCTTTGATAATGGAACTGACTGCCACAGTTAGTGAGGGAACTATCTGGCAACAGTCCCTAGTTCTTGTCCAATGGACAACATGGAGAGACTTGGATGACCGCCGGTACCCTCCACAGCCAAGTATCTCCTCAGTAGGAATCCGTCAGGTCAAGCCTTAGGGGTGTGTGTGTGTGAGTGTGTGTGTGTGTGTGTTAGTTCCCTAATCCCTAACATTTGACTGAGACAGACAAGGATTTTCTGAGTCTAATGATTTCAGATCGGCACGGAGGACATGCTGCAATCCCAAAATCAGCACAGTTACGGAAATTGGCTGTGGGAGACAGGAAGTGAAAGGTCACAGCAAAGCCATTTGTTCCAACACTCTAGTCTCAAGTGAGGCTGTGGCTGTGACCATCCCAGCTTCCCTCGCTGCTGGGGACCCCAACCTGAAGAAAGACCCCAGACAGGCTGATCAGCCACTATGATCTCGAAGCTACTCTTCCTCCTCTGTTTCAGTAAGTCTCGCGGGACGGCACCTAGGGATGGCAGAAAATTGGTGTGAGGTGTGTCAAAAGGAAGGTAACTATAACGTAAAGGCAAGGAAAATGAATGTTAGAATATTTTAACTATATCCTGCTCCTTTCAAGCCGTGAGTCTGAAGCCTACTGAAGGTGAGTCACTGGGAGGGAGAGGCATCAAAGACTCGCTGCAAACGGCTCTCTGGTTGATAAAACCAACGGCACCATAAGAGTGCTGAGTGCACCCATCACGCAAAGCTTAACCACCTTCCGTCCACCTAACATCACCACACGTAAGACCAGTGGGGTGTGTTCCATGTTTGGGAACTAACTCTCTGATACTCCCCAAAACAATGACAACAACAACTGCCAGAGTAAGATGCACTCTTAGAGGTTAGGATCTGAGCTTGCACCATGAGGCGACCATGTTGCACAGACACAGATCAACCAGAACTGCCTCCCTCCACAAATGTTGCTTCCGCTCAGCCATGACGTTACATGAAGTGGGACACACGCAAGGGGTGTTGACATGGAAGCATCCTGGGTGTGTCTGAATAAGCCAGGAAAGCAAAGATGAGTGGTTCAGACTCTCCCCAGCTGGGGGACTACGGCACAATAGAAATGAGTCTTTCCAGAAAACAGGAGAGCTTGAGATCCACAAGGAGAGGAGATCTTGCCTTGGTTTGGTCCTTGGCACTTGGTTTTCCCTCTCAACATAATTTCCGGACTCCAGTCTTTACACTGTTCCATGGAGCATTCTGTACTCTGGAGGTGTGTGCTAGGAAGACGTTTCCAGTAATGTTTTTAGAGGGACCTGTCGGGATAGAGCGAAGAAGGTCTGGTTTACAGCCTCCAGCTAACTTTATTCTAAGACGACACCACATAATGCACATAAATACAAAATTTGTGTTAATTGACCATGTTATCGGTCAGGCTTCTGATCAGCCACAGGCTATGAGTAAAGTTTTTCAGAAAGTCAAAAGAGATATACATGGTTTTCAACTGCCTGGGGGATGGAGGCCCCAACCCCTGCCCGTGTTTATACTTTTAACCATTTGTCAATGCACGTTCAGTTCAGCAGTCTTAAATACATTTGCATTGCTGTGTGACCGTGAACCAAAATCTCATCAACCCCAACATAAACTCTATCTCCGCTTCTTTTCTCCACACCCCGGGAACCTCTACTCTGCTTCTGTGACCCTGCCTGTCTGAGTTACTTGGTCTAAGTGGGAGGGCGCACTCTCTGTCCTTGCGGGATGGCTAATTTCCCTCACTGCGTTGTCAAGGTCTTTCCTGTCGTAGCCCACAGCACAATTCCACTCCTTGTGCCCAATACATCCTCTCTCTGGCTAGACCACATTCTGTCCCTCCGTTTATCCTCTTCATCACACCTTCAGTCTCTTCACCTTCTGGCCATTTAAGAATTTTATATTTCAAAATACAAACTGTCATATTTTCACCGGCCCATGCAATTGTAGCCCAAAGGCCTGAGAACGTCTCCTTTTCACTGAAACAAAACCGCCTGCTCCGTGAGGGGGAGAAAGAGGAAATCTCCTTGAAAAAAAGACCTAATCAACATCCATTGAGTTAGATCCATGTCTCTCTCACATCAACATTCATAAACAGGCATGATACTCATTTTATTTAATTTTTCCCAACAACGAGAATTTTATGTTAAACATTGTGTCACTGTCTATCGAGGTAACATGGTTTATAACACTGTGTATGACTGAGGAGTGCAGGTTCACTGCTCCTCAGATATAAGTTGCCAGACCACACCTATCACAAAACCCCCCAAAATCCTCCACTACAGTCCATGGGGGTCCCATCTCCCCTTTGCTCCCTACCTCCCTCTACCCCTCAAAGCCTCAGTTCCACAGCCAGTTTCTAGGACTAGTTTCTGTTCAGCTTGTTCCTTGTTTTCTTTCTCTACATCCCACCTGAGTGAAATCATGCAGTACTTGTCTCTCTCCCGACTTATTTCACTCAGCTTCATCCCCTCCAGCGTGGACGGAATTGGGGATGGTAATTTTACAGGGATCTCGGCTCTCACACAAAATGGCATCTAGCACACTGGGGCATTAATGGCGGAACTGTCGGTGTTGTTCAGATCACTTTCCCTTGGAAGGTTCTTTCTCAGCACACGGATGTGGAGTGTGTGTGTTGTGGGTCTGAGGGATGTTTTGCCAGGTTCCCTGAGACAAGGTTCTCTCACCCAGTGTAGATTTGCATCACTGGGAAGCATGGACCTTTGGCGCCTGAGTCTTACCCCAAACGATTCTCATTAAATGATTTTGCGATTTAGTCCCTCCCAAAGGAAGCCAATGTGGAGATATGATTAAGAACAACTCAGTCAGGGCCTCCCTGGTGGTGCAAGGGGTTAAGCACAGCACTGTGAAACAATCTGCAGCCTCTGCAGCATGAGTTTGACTCACGGTCGGACAGGGAGCTACCCACATGGTGCAGCAGACCTCTCCTGCCTCACCCCTGCTCCCCTCAGCAGTGGATTTCAGTCAGTCTGCCTGTTCTGTTCCCCACTCTGTCTCTGGTGTGTCCTCTCACCCCCTACACCTCCAGCCTGTACCCAAGTTATTGTGTGCATAAGTGAATAAATCTTTAAAAAAAACAAAAAAAAAAAAGAGAACATCTGAGTCAGAGAACGCTAAAGGCAGCTGCATGTGGAGAGGGGACGGCTCTAGGTGCTCCCTTTCCTGGAATCGCCATTTGGATTTTCTGAGGCTTGTGTCAGGACACGCAGGGACTCTGTTCTCTCTGGAGTATGAAAGGCTGACAAGAGACAACTGCAAATGCTGGAGCAGAACCTTCAAACCAAAGACTAAGGTGGCCTCAACCAGTGCTTCCCACGGACCGGGCTCACCCCTCCAGGAGTCAGCCTTCCTCCCCCAGTATTGGTGGTGGCGATGGAGAGGTCTGGACGTGAGGAGACATGAGAGAAGATGGGGGAGAGGAGGCTGCCGCTCCTCAGCCCAGCTGGTGCTGGGGCATCTTGTAATCATTTTTTCCAATTATGTTTATTGAGGAAACATCCTTTCCATGGTTGTATCTCTGGGGGTTACAGGATCAAACCTCTGCAAATGCATGTTTTCACCCCCTGCCCATCACCAGTGCCCCCGAATCCTCCACCATGTTCCAGTGGGGCACCTTGGCCCTCAGCAGCGTGGCTTGCTGAGGTCCTACACTGTGCCACAACTGTGTGGACGCCGGGGTGCTGAGGCCAGCAGCACCGAGACCCCTGCCTCCGGGCGCTCTAGTGGTGGCCCGTGTCCGCCATGGCAGGAGGGTGTGAGCAACGGCAAGCGCACTGCAGGCTCCACGCCCTGGCGGCTCTATCTCCACACTGTCACCCAGACACAGGAGGCCTTCCCTGTGGGGCCTCGTCTATCATGGAGACTGTGAGGAGACCCTCAGGTCTGTTTGGGGCCAGGGACCCTCGTGTCCGACGCCGCCTCAGTCTCTCTCACGGTTCTTGCCTCCTCCCCAGGCGGGGCTGTGGGAATCCAGACAATCCGACACAGACCTACTAGGAATGTGAGGCTGAGGTGGCTCAGGACAGAAGATGAGAAAAGGAGAGTTTGTGGGATTTCGTGGAACCCAGAAAGGCGCTGGGGCCTCGGGAGTGGGAGCCGCAGCCTTTCTGTGAGCCAGGAGGGAGGCGCTGAGCGGGGAGAGTCCAGTGTGGGGACAGGAGGACCCCAGGGGACAGGCATGAGCTCAGTGAGGGCCTGGCCCAGTTCCTGGGCATCAGGGAGGAGCTGGGCGGCTCCAGCGGGACCGACTCATGGATGATGATTCCTCTGCAGGGCTGCGCGTGGGCCAAGGAGACACTGGAGGAGACGGTGAGTGTTTCCTCTACCAGACCCTGCTCCAGCCCTCTCCGCCCTTCCTCCCTCACTGGGCCTCCGGGGAGCAGGTGAGGACATGGCAGCCAGCCCTGAACTCTGCTTCCTCCAGGGCCTCTTCCCAGGCCCTCCCTCACGGCCTGGCCCAGCGCGGTGGTGCCTGAGGGTGCTGATGTGACGCTGACATGCCGCGCGCCCATCGGGGGCCTGGGAAAGTTTCATCTCAGAAGGGGAGGACACACAGTGGTGGATGTGCCCCCAACTGACTGGACAGAGGGCCCGGCCGAGTTCAGCCTCACTGGGCCAAAAGCCAGTCGAGCTGGAGAGTACACCTGTCACTACCAGAGAAGAGAGAGGCCCCGAGAAACATCACCGCCCAGTGAGGTCCTTCTACTCCTGGTGACAGGTGAGGACACCCCGTCTTCTCAGGGGTGGGGGTGAGGGAGGAACCAGAGACAGAGAGGGAGGCAAGGGTGTCCCTGCAGCGCAGTTGGGGGGCTGGGGAGACACAGGGGCCCAGCTGGCGCCCTGTACCCAGGGCCTGCAGGAGGCAGAAGTGCTTCCTGGAGCTGGAGTGGACGAGGCCGGGGCCAGGCGTCTGCACCTCCTCCTCCCTGAGACCCTGCCGGGAGCACGGGATGACCCTGGAGCCTTCTTGTCTTTCAGGTTCTTACCCCAAACCTTCCCTCCAAGCCCACCCAAGCGGAGAGGTGACCACAGGAGAGAACGTGACCCTGCAGTGTCAGTGGCCCCGCCACGTGACTGAGCTGACACACTTTGTTATACTGAAGGCAGGAGAGTCAGCACCACCCACCCAGGTCTCCACTTCACACGAGAGGGGAACCGACTTCTTCCTTCTGAAGGTGACAGCCAGTGACAGTGGCAACTACAGCTGTGTGAGCCACCAGACCAGGGCTCCATTCTGGGCTTCGTGCCCCAGTGAGTCCGTCTCCATCCAGGTGACAGGTAAGGCTCTGCCTCATTTGGAGAATATAGTGGACAACTTCCAGCTGTGGGGCAGTGAGCAAGGGAGTGGAGGCACCGGGGTGGGGGGGCAGTCCCTGTGTTCCCACAAAGCTCTGGATCCTGAAGAAATCATTTGGTAGAAACAAGTTAGGACCAGGATCCTGTGGAATAGTAGAGAGGATCTTCACTAAGAAAGAACAGGAAGTGGAGACTCCACAGGAGCTGGGCCGAGGGCTTCCATCACAGTGACCAGGTGTGCTTTGAGGTACCAGGATGGGGGTGTCATGCCTGCGAGTTAGATCAGATGTAGCCACACAGTTGTTGCTCATCTCCTAGGCAGGATGCCTCTCATTTAGGCTAAAGTGTGAAGGACACTTCCTAGGAATACAAAAGGAGGTTCCGGCAAGAAGGCAGAGGAGGAGGGAGAATGACAATGCTCCCAAGGAATGCCTCTCCCAGACAGATGCAGTGACTTCCAGAAAGATCTGTGTTCCCTTTTCTTTTCTTTTTTTTTTTTTAATTGGCTGTTAGTTTATATTCTTATGTGACTTCTTTTTTTCCAAATCTTTTTTTTTAAGATTTATTTATTTATTTATATATACAAGCACTGGGTGCAGTCAGAAGCGCAGGAGGGTGAGGGAATTCACCAGAGCCAGAGCGGAGAGCAGAACAGGCAGACTGACGAAGTACACTGCTGAGGGGAGCAGCAGGCGCGACAGGAGAGGTCTGCGTGCCATGTGGGACCTTCACCTGCGGCCGGGGATTGAACCGGCACTGCAGAGGCTGCGGGCAGCTTCGCAGCCCAGGGCTCAACCAAGCCCTGCGCCACCAAGGGAGGCCCAAAATAATGATTTTTTTTTTATGTTGTGGTAAAAATGCAAAAGTAAATTTTATGATCTTCCCCATTTTGAACTTACAGTTCAGGGCACTAAGCACATTTTATCTAATTTACTTCATTGGTCTGGTCTCTATATGACATATGAGTGAAATGACACAACTTTCATCTGACTTGTTTCACTAAACACAATACCCTCAGGCCATCCATGTTATTGCAATTGGCAGGGTTTCAGCTTTTAATTTTTCATAGCTGAGTAGCATTCCATTGTGTACACAAACCACATTTTTTTTTTTTTTTTAGAGAGGCATGTTTTATTTATTTGTTTGTTTTGTTTATACATGCACTGGGTACAGTCAGAAGCGCGGGAGGGTGAGAGAATTCACCAGAGCCAGAAAGGAGAGCAGAGCAGGCAGAAGGACCGAAGGACACTGCTGAGGGGAGCAGCGGGCGGCAGGAGAGGTCTGCGCGCCATGTGGGACCCTCCTCCGGTGGCCGGGGAGCAGCTGGGGATCGAACCGCGCCGCAGAGGCCACGGGCAGCTTCGCAACCCAGCGTGCAACCGCTGCGCCACCGGGGAGGCCCAAACCACATCTTCTTGATCCTCTCATCTGCCACTGGGCACTTAGGTTGTTTCCAGCTCTTGACTATAGTATCTGCTTTTCTGTGACTGGCTTATTTCACTTTGCCTAATGGTTACAGACCCAGAAGTAGAATTGAGGGGTCATATGGTAGTGCCCTCTTTCTAATGTTTTTAAGAAAGAAGTGATGGGGAGTGAACTGAGAACTTCTCTGAAGCGCTTCTCTGAACTTCTCTGAACTGCCACCTTCTCTGAAGCACGGGCTCAGAAGGGAGGGGTCTTCAAAGGAAGAGTGAGGTGGTGGGCATCAAATCAGAACTGACGGGGGTCCCACCTCGGCTCTGCCACGAGCCTGGTGATCGGAGCAACCTGTGTCAGCCCCTTGAGGTTTAGTTTGTTCATCTGTAAAGGCAACCTTGTCTTTGCTCTCTCTTGACCTCCCTGCACCAGAAGGGTTATACACAGGTCTGTGGCTACGAGGGACGATGATAGATCAGGTTCAAGAGCAGACCCTCCAGCCATGTTAGTGCAGGTGACTGCAGGTCAGGGTAGGTGCTGTGTTAGTGCAGGTGACTGCAGGTCAGGGTAGGTGCTGTGTTAGTGCAGGTGACTGCAAGTTAGGGTAGTGCCCTGTTAGTGTGGCTCCCAGCGAGCACTAGAGAAGATGGCCAAGAGGCTCCACTAGTCTTGTCCTGGAAACCACAGTGATATTTCCTCTAGAAGAATTCTCCCAACAGGTTGTACTAGCCAGGGTTCTCCAGAAAACCATAACCCGTAGGATGGAGATATATGTCTATCTAAGCACACATCTGCACCCACACACATACAAATAATATACAATATACATGCTTAGATGTAGATCTCTATCTATATATGCACAAGAACGTGTATATATAAATTATACATATATAAGTTACATGTAACATATATATCACATGTACTTGACTTTACTATATAAATTATATAAAATATATCCCATATATGTGTATATAATAAATAGTATAACCTACATGTAAGATTCCCTTTCTTTTGAGAAATTTGAAAAACACTAATAGGAAAAAATAAGTTATATATATATATGCACACACACATATAAAATCTCCTTGCCAGATGCATCTACAGCTGTCTGTCTGTGTTTCTACCCTTATCACATATGCCGAGATACACGAGAGACACTGAGGAAGAGGTATCAAGCACTGCCTGATGAATGTGGGGTCGATGAGCCTGAGAACTGCAGGGCAGGCTGGAAACCCAGGCAAGAGTTGATCCGCATGGTGGAGACAGACACCGTTCTTTATGTTTAGGGTCTTCACCCACAGAGGAAGGTAACCTGCCTCCCCTAGAGTCCACTGCCTCCAGCACTAGTCAAATGCAAAATAGCAGCAACCTGTCTGACTCAACAACTGGGTACCAGAGCACAGCCAAGCTGACAGGTAAGAGCAACCATCCCACCAGCCAACTCCAGAGTCCTGGGGCACTTGGGGACATTTTAGAAGTACTGTCTTCTTTCTCTCTGCCCCATTTTATTTCATTCTGCTGCCTCGATAGAGCTAAAACTCAGAAAACGTTCCTTCCACATGCCAGTGAGAACTGATAAGAATTTCCACTCTTTTGAGAAACCTGAAAAAGACCATCTCATAGAAATAACAGCATCCACTACCCAGAATTTTACTTGTTCCCATTTAGTCATATTTGCTCCAAGTTGTCTTTTTTGCACAAGTAAAGATAAAAAGAAGTTCCTCTTTTCTGCCAAACCCATTTGCATTTTTTCTGCCTCTCCCCAGTAGAAACGTCTACCCTGAGGCTGGTGTCAGCATATCTGGGCATGCTGCTTACTATGTAGATTCGCTTGCGAAATAATAGTGCTGAAAAACTATAGGGCAGGGCCTCCCCTGGTGGCGCAGCGGTTGAGCTCTGGGCTGCGAAGCTGCCTGCAGCCTCAGCAACGCTGGTTTGATCCCCAGCCGCTGGGCGAGGGTCCCACATGGCGCGCAGACCTCTCCTGCCGCCCGCTGCTCCCCTCAGCAGTGTCCTTCGGTCCTTCTGCCTGCTCTGCTCCCTGCTCTGGCTCTGGTGAATTCTCTCACCCTCCCGCGCTTCTGACTGTACCCAGTGCTTGTATAAATAAATAAATAAATCTTAAAGAACAAAAAAATTAAAAGTGATCAATTTAAAAAAAAAACAAAACTATAGGGCAATAGATGTTCTTCATTTTTTTAACTCAGAAATTGCACTTTCTAGATACAGGAGAAAAGTCTCCAAACTTTTTTCAAGGTAAGAGAACAGACCTTCTGGGGTCACCCAGTTGTTCAAACATGAGGTAAGGTTTCCTGGGGAGGCAGCAAGAGCTGTCACCAGGCGGCTTCTTGGGGTGTCTATCTGTATTTCTATACGACCAAAAGATGCCTGGTTTGATCTTTCAAGGCGGGCAGGACTAGAGTCTCAGCTCCACCTACTTATTCATGGTGTGACTGGACATCAAACATTGACTGTCCCCCACCCCCACCTTCTGCACCCCTAACAGGCATTGCACCATCCCCCTTCCAGGACACATGTAAGGGGGAGGAAAATGTAGTGACACTTGCAGTGTGCCACAGGAGGGCGATGAGCGGTAGGATTTTTAGGCACCAGAACATGCCTGTCTGTCCCTCTTCCCTGCTCTCTCCCCACCAGGGCCCACAGGATTCATCGTCATTGCCATCTGCACTTTGCTCCTCGTGCTCCTTGCATCCTTCCTCATCTACAAACACACCCGATGTGGTGAGTTCAGGAAGCCGAGGTCTAAGTCTTTGGGAGGAATAGGGTGCGGATGCTAACACCAGGGTCATTTCATCTCCCTTCTTTTTCATCCCCAGGGGCAGCTGACAAGGTGACCACAAGGTAGGCCCAGTCACGAGAATCCCACCAGCCAACACTTAGCTGGTCCCCCGTCCTTGACTGCACTACTTCTCCATCTTCCTTACCTCCACCTTCAGGGGGTCCCCCACCAGCTCCAGTCACCAGCCCAACTTCTCTCCATCATCCTCACTTCTCAGAAGTTCAGTGTCCTTCCCCTGGAGTCTTTCCTCATGCACCGCATGGCCCCGCCCCTTCCTTCCCCCTCATTTCTCAACACTTTTCCAACACAGAACCCCTTGAGTGGGGAGTATGGGCTGGAAGTGGGCAGAGAGACTAGTTGCAGGGGACCTTGTTTTGTGCCCCATCACCACCCACTTATCCACACAGTTTGGATTTCTCTCCGGTTTCCTTTTTCCCTAATGCTCCATTCTGCTTCTCCCTCAGCTCCCGCTCTTGGAAGGAACCTGAAGAAATGGAGACAAGTAATCACGGGGGAAGAAAGTGGCTGCGTGTGTGTGCATGGATCTGTGCATGTATATGAAGCACAAATAGGTGTTTGTGTGCATGCGAGTCTGTATTTGAGTGTGGTGGGTGTGCAGGACTGTATGCATGCATGTGAACACGTGTGCATGCATATAGCAGTGTGTGTGATAATGTGAGCATGTGGTGTGTGCTTGCATGTGCATGGCGAGTGTGTGAGGGTGTGCAGTTTGCATGTTCACATGCAAATCTGTGTATATGTATGGGCTTGTGGATGCTGCATGCATGCATTAGTGTGCTCCCGTATGCCCACATGGGTGTGAATGTGTGGGCGCGCATGTGCATGTGTGTGCCTGCCTGAGTATGTGTATATGTGTGTAGACCTGACCCCTGGAGCCCGGGGTGAAGCCACACACACTCTCTCCCCTCCCAGATGCAGTTATACCTGGGCAGAGTCGCTCTCCGGCCTTGGTGAGTTTCCACTGTGGGGATTTCCCCGCAGCCCCTTCCTCCTTCCAGATTCTCCATCTCCCACCTTGTTTTGTCAATGATGTGAACCCCCGTTTTCATCCCATACCAGCCGCGCCTCAACATTTCAGGACAGCCCGGTCTGAGTTCTTCTGTGCCTTCCCAGGCGGTGGGACCTTCATCCCAGGCCTTGTCCTTCTGAGGACATGTCCCGTTGTAGAGGGGACGACCCCCTTCCTCCTAGGTGAGATGGAGCTGACAGCCACAGAGCGAGCTCTAGGATCCCTCATGTGGTGTGTGCATTCAGTACCTTGAGACGATATTACTATTATTATTATTATAATAACCACTGGTATCGAGAGGTTTCCCACCCTGAGCCTCAGTTTCTTCATCTGGACAACAGTGACCCCAGACCCAGCAGAGCGGCCGTTATTATGAACAGCAACCCTTAATCGTCTTTCCTTTACAGTTCAATTTTTTTTTTTAATTCTGGCAAGACACACCTAACACAGATTCACCATTTTCACGTTTACAATTCAGTGACATTTGCGACCTCCCCCGTGCCCTGGAACAATGACCTCGTTCCAGAACACTCCATCACCCAAGAGAAGACCTCACACCCTTTCAGCCATCACTCCCCTCCATCAGGAACCTGCTTTCTATGCCGCTGGATTTGCCTATTCTGGACACCGCATATTAACACCAGAGTCAGGACCAGAGACAGGACCCCGAGGGGTAGGGTAGCGGGGAGCTTAAGTGGCAAGTTGATAATTTTGAATAAGAAGTTGGGAGACATTCAAGAATGAATTTATTTCCTAATCATCTATGTCGTCAAAAACAGGAAGCCTCTGGTGAGGGAGGTGCGAGAAACTTTTTTTAAAAAACAAGACTGATTTCCACATCCCTCCTCTAGTCCTCGCTCGGTAACGCAACTATTCAAAAAGTCATTCTAGATGCCTGGATGTGGTTCCGAAACACATTTCTCTTTCAAGTTCTCTCCTTCTCAGCCTACCCTCACTGAGGTGGTTTTAAACGTTTCAGCTGAAATCCAGCAGTTGACTTCCCTGCCTCCAATCTTCCCCACTAACTTCAGTCTGCATATGAACCAGAGTCCTCCTGTTACAAGAAACACCCCCCCCATCCTTTGTGTCCCTTTGTTCCTTTCCCTCTTAACTCAAAGCCCTCAGGAGGTTTTTTATTTTTATTTTTTAAAGATTTATGTATTTATGCATACACGAAGTGGGGTGTAGGCCAGAGGTATGGGGAGGTGAGAGGATTCACCAGAATCCTGAAGTGGGGAGCAGAACAGGCAGATTGACTGAAGTACACTGCTGCGGGGAGCAGCAGGGGAGTCAGGAGAGGTCTGCTGTGCCATGTGGGTAGCTCCCTGGCTGGGGATCGAACTCGTGCTGCAGTGGCTGTGGATAGCTTCATAGGTTATGTCTTAAAACTTGCACCACCAGGGAGGCGCAAGGATGTTTTTTAATGTGCACAATTCTTGGAAGTGTTTTACGTTGTCAAATTGTCTGCTATGCAAATGATCAGTATTTGTTTTGATCATTCTGACTTGCTTTACTACACACAGTTCTCTTAAACCCCCTCTATTTTATTGAAAATGGCTGCCTTCATCCTTTCTTGTGGCTGTATAATATTCCATGGAGTGGATATAACACGTCTTCCATCCAACATCCTTTGATGGAGTTGGGAGACACTGTTGCTGCCTCATCCCAGGCTAGCACTTGGGAAGCCTATTCCCAACGCCTGTGTGGATAAATTCTGCAAAATTCCCTTTTCTCTTAATTGCAAAGTTCTTTGTAAATTTCTCCTAAATTTACAGCCTAGAGACCACAATTCTTTACTGGAATGACCAGTAAATGGGCTCCCATTCTAGGGACTTCCATGTGCATGTGATAAAAGTTTGTCTTTTCTCTTGTTAATACTTCTTATGTCAATTATTTTTATTTAATCTTTAAATTATGTTGTAGTCTATGGACTGGGTAGGGTAGAGAAAGAGCAGCTTCCTCCCCAATAATAGCTGGATGGATGAATTACCCATCTCTGCATAACAAATCATTCCCAAACTAGGAACTTCATGCAACACTAACGATCTCACAGCACCTGCAGGGCAGGCCTCAGCTGGGTCCTCTGGGGGTCTCACAGAGCTGTGACAAGGTATTGTCAGGGCTGATTAGGGTTTGGTTAAAATATTTGCTTCCACATCCACTCAAGGTGGTTGTTGGTAGGATTCAGCGGCTTGCTGACTGCCGGCTGGTGATCACGCCAGCCACAGACCATGCCAGCCACGTGGGCCTCTCCAGAGTGTAGATTCTACCAAGGCAGCTGGTTTCCTCAGCTTGAGCAGATAAGAGGAAATAGAGAAGTATGAGAAAGTGATGGGAAAGGCCATAGCCTTTCATAGCCTAGTCTTAGACATGACACCCCCTTTTTGTCTGTATTCATTGGGTAAAACAAGTCCAGTCAATACTCAAGAGGGGAGGGGGCATCACAAAGACATGACGAGGAGGAGGCTCATGGAAGATACCTTAGAGAGCTGACTACCACACTGCTATGGCTGCTAACACGGCACAGTCAAATTTTCCTCCTGGGAACACTTGACCCCTTTCTCCCTGTTTACTATCAGGATGAAGGAGCTCAGGTGTCACCAGCTGAAGAACCCTGTGGAGTGACTTACGCTGAGCTGGACACCAGAGCCCTAAGGGAGCGCCCTTCCAGCCAGATGAACCCGTCTCTGGAAACCTGTGTCTACTCAGCCCTTAAAACATAGCCGGGGAAGATCTGGACCCCGGAAGGAAAAACTTCTGACCAGAGGAGTATGGGGCAAAGGTCTCATGGGGGGGCTTATGGTAATAGGGATCCTGTTCCTCAAATCTTCTCAAAACGTATGAATGTTTAAGTGAGAGGTGTCGTTCACAGTCGGCAATAAGCCAGTGAGCGAGGGGGGGGGGGGGCTGGGCCATCTGCAGACCAACCATGGGATCAGCAGCTGCGGGCTCTGGCTCAGGTCGTATCAGCCTGAGCTCTGGGGACTGGCGGGAGGCGAGAGATGGAGTCACTCATGCACAGTCTGGACACAGGCTCGGGGGAGCTTCCTGGTTGGTGGCAGACGCTGATGTCCGGGGAGAGTGATTCATCCTGAGAACACAGGACGCTTCACTCTTGGGAGCCCCAGTCCTCACTGTATGCGTCGCTTCATTTGCGTTGGCCCTGATTTGTAGCCTTTACAATAAAATCACCACATTTTCTAAAATTGTGTGATCCTGGCAAATGAATGAAGCTGAGGTACTAGTCGGAACCTCCAGTTTTCTAGGCAGTTGGTCAGAAGGACAGGAGACCCGGGAACACCTGAGCTGACAGCCGAGGTCCAAAGTCGGGGCGGGCTTGTGGACACGGAGCCCTTAGCCTCTGAAACCCGCGCTGACTCCAGTTACTGTGGGAATTGCGTTGCGGCTCAGAAGTGGCTCCCCCACCCGCTGCCACCACCACTTGAGCTTTTGAATTAGACCCCGACCCTGGAGCACCTTGCTTGCAGCCCTGAGCACCCTGTCAGATTGTGTGTGGTCCCGGCCCACTCTGACTAGGAGGTGATGAATGTGTCACCTGCATCCTGGGTTTGTGTGATATCATTTTCACAGCAACAGATCATCAGCAGAACCACTCAGACTTGTGCCTCCTTCCACAGAATGATGCCTGACTCCAGGAAACACCCCACCTCTGTGGGCCGAGGGGCGGGGGCGGGCAGGGCTTCCAGTGATTTTCTGGAAAGGGAATGGGCCCTTCTTTTTTCAAGATTTATTTTATTTATTTATGCATACAAGATCTGGAATGTAGGCCGGAGGTGCGGGGGTGAGAGGATCCACCAGAGAGAGAGTGGGGAACAAAACAGGCAGATCTACTGAAACACACTGCTGAGGGGAGCAGCGGGGAGACAGGAATGCTTTGCTGTACCATGTGGGTCAGCTTCCTGGCCAGGGATCAAACTCAGGCCACAGTGGCTGGTGATAGCTTGACAGAGCTGAAACTTAACCCCTGTGCCACCAGGGAAGCCCCAGGAATGGGCTTTTGAGACAGACCCCAGGTCCAATTCCTGCTCCTGCCTCTCCTTTGTCTTTGAGGAGGCCTTGCTGTGCCTCCATTGACGTGTCTCCCATTACTTAAGAGATTCTAGCAACATTTGGCAGGAAGCACAGATTATTACCCAGATGGAGAAGGTGGCAGAGTGGTCAGCTGGGATGGGGTTGACTTGGGACTCACATCTCCAACTTGCAGAGACAAGTATTTTCTGAACAAAAGCAACATCAGCAGGGGCGGTTCAGCACATGGATGTAGATGAGGAGACACAGAAACTTGGAGTTTCAGACACGCTGATAATTTCTTTGGGGGACCCGCTGGCCAAGTAAGGGCTATGAGCCCACACACACTTCGCAGGAGTTGAAAATGATTGTAAAGACCACAGCTTCACAAAACTGCAAAACTCAAAGAACTTGGTGCTGTCCCCAGACCAGGCGGCTCCTGGAGGACCACGCGGCTCCTGGAGGACCACGCTCGACAGCTGATCTGGTGGGAACTGGTCTGAGCTATTCTGTGGGGGGATAAATGGGCCCCCTCGTCAAGGAAGGGGACACGCTGATGAACAGGACTGCTTTGGAACTCGGGGGCCCCAGAAGTTGGTGGGGGAGAGGTTCTATCAACCTGTCAGCATTGATTTGGGATAGTGGAGGTGAGACGCGCAGGGGCTGCTGCAGCTGAGACACCAGCAGGCTCCGACACGGGACTCTGCAGCCACCGCGACACGCGCGAAGTCCAGGGCCTGAAGGAATAAGGAACCCCAACAACAATTCATTTTGGCTTTCCTTGTTCCCAAGATGGAAAACGCACCCGTGCAGCCCTTCAAAAGAGGAGCCCCTGATCCTTCTTGCCAGGGATGCTTCGCTCATTTTCAAGCTCTCACTACTCCACTGTCTCTGTTCTACACTCAGCAGATGCTCACATTGCCCTCTGGGGGCCTATGGGTCTTCTTTAATCATGGAACTGACTGCCACTGTTAGTGCATTATCTGGCAACAGTCCTTACTTGGCCAATGGACAACATCGAGCAACCTGCATGACCTGAGACCCTCCACAGCAAGTATCTCCTCAGTAGGAACTCATTTAGTCAAGCCTTAAGAGTGTGTGTGTGTGTGTGTGTGTGTGTGTGTGTGTGTCAGGGGTAGTTGCCTAATACCTAAAATTTGACCAAGACAGACAAGGATTGTCTGTGCATCTGGTGCTTTAAGGTCGGCATGGAGGACCATGTCGCAATCTCAATATCACTGCGGAAATTGGCTGTGGGAGACAGGAAGTGAGAGGTCACAGCAAGGCCATTTGTTCCAACACTCTAGTCTCAAGTGAGGCTGCGGCTGTGACCATCCCAGCTTCCCTCGCTGCTGGGGACCCCAACCTGAAGAAAGACCCCAGACAGGCTGATCAGCCACTATGATCTCGAAGCTACTCTTCCTCCTCTGTTTCAGTAAGTCTCGCGGGACGGCACCTAGGGTGGCAGAAAATTGGTGTGAGGTGTGTCAAATGGAAGGTAACTTATCGTAAAGGCAAGGAAAGTGAATGTTAGGATATTTTAACTATATCCTGCTCCTTTCAAGCCGTGAGTGTGAAGCCTGCTGAAGGTGAGTCACTGGGAGGGAGAGGCATCAAAGACTCGCTGCAAACGGCTCTCTGGTTGATAAAACCAACGGCACCATAAGAGTGCTGAGTGCATCCATCACGCAAAGCTTAACCACCTTCTGTCCACCCAACATCACCACACGTAAGACCAGTGGGGTGTGTCCCACGTTTGGAAACTAACTCTCCGATCCTTCCCAAAACAATGACAACAACAACAACAACTGCTAGAATAAGACGCAGTCTTAGAGGTTAGGATCTGAGCTTGCACCATGAGGCGACCATATTACACAGGCACAGATCAACCAGAACTGCCTCCCTCCACAAACGTTGCTTCCGCTCAGCCAGGACGTTAGATGAAGAGGGACACGCATGGGCTCTTTGACATGGAAGCATCCTGGGTGTGTCTGAATAAGCCAGGAAAGCAAAGATGAGTGGTTCAGACTCTCCCCAGCTGGGGAACTAGGGCACAATAGAAATGAGTCTTTCCAGAAACCTGGAAAGCTTGAGATCCACGAGGAGAGGAGATCTTGCCTTGGTTTGGTCCTTTGCACTTGGTTTTCCCTCTCAACATAATTTCCAGATTCCGAGCCTTTACGCTGTTCCATGGAGCAATCCCCACAGTGAGGTGTGTGCTAGGAAGACATTTCCAGTAATATTTTTGGAGGGACCTGTCGGGATAGAGTGAAGAAGGTCTGGTTTACAGCCTCCAGCTTACTTTATTCTAAGGCTACACTATACAATGTCTATAACATAGAAAATTTGTGTTAATTGAGCCTGATCAACCACAGCTATGAGTCATTTTACCAGAAACATAACATAGAAAATTTGTGTTAATTGGCCATGTTATTGGTCAGGCTTCTGATCAACCACAGGCTATGAGTCAGCTTTTCCAGAAACTCAAAAGATATATACATGGTTTTCAGGCCTCCCCTAGTGGCGCAGCGGTTGAGCGCTGGGTTGCGAAGCTGCCCGCAGCCTCTGCAGCGCCAGTTTGATTCCCGGCCACCTGCGAGGGTCCCACATGGCGCGCAGACCTCTCCTGCCGCCTGCTGCTCCCCTCAGCAGTGTATTTCAGTGCTTCTGCCTGTTCTGTTCCCCGTTCAGGCTCTGGTGAATTCTCTCCCCCTCTAGCGCTTCTGACTGTACCCAGTGCTTGTATAAATAAATAATCTTTTTTTAAAAAAAAGAGTTATAAACATGGTTTTCAACTGTCTGCGAGTTGGGGCCCCAACCCCAACCATTTGGAAATATACAGTTCAGCAGCCTTAAATATATTTGCATTGCTGTGTGACATGAACCGAAGACTCATCAACCCCAACATAATCCCTGTCTCCACTTCTTTTCTCCACACCCCGGGAACCTCTACTCTGCTTCTGTGAACCTGCCTGTCCGAGTTACTTGGTCTAAGTGGGAGGGCGCACTCTCTGTCCTTGCGGGATGGCTAATTTCCCTCACTGCGTTGTCAAGGTCCTTTCCTGTCGTAGCCCACAGCACAATTCCACTCCTTGTGCCCAATACATCCTCTCTCTGGCTAGACCACATTCTGTCGATCCGTTTATCCTCTTCATCACACCTTCAGTCTCTTCACCTTCTGGCTAATTTATGAATTTTATATTTCAAAACACAAACTGTCATATTTTTCACCGGCCCACACAATTGTAGTCCAAAGGCCTGAGACCTTCTCCTTTTCACTGAAACACAAAACCGCCTGCTCCGTGAGGGGTAGAAAGAGGAAATCTCTTTGAAAAAAGACCTAATCGGGGGCCTCCCCGGTGGCGCAGCGGTTGAGCGCTGGGTTGCGAAGCTGCCCGCAGCCTCTGCGACGCCGGTTCGATCCCCGGCTGCTCCCCGGCCACCGGAGGAGGGTCCCACATGGCGCGCAGACCCCCCCTGCCGCCCGCTGCTCCCCTCAGCAGTGTCCCTCGGTCCCTCTGCCTGCTCTGCTCCCCGCTCTGGCTCTGGTGAATTCTCTCACCCTCCTGCGCCTCTGACTGTACCCAGTGCATGTATAAACAAAAAAAAACAAACAAATAAATAAATAAATAAAACATGCCTCTATTAAAAAAAAAAAAGACTTAAAAAAAAAAAAAGAAAAGAAAAAAGACCTAATCAACATCCGTTGAGTTAGATCCATCTCTCTCTCACATCCACGTTCATCAACAGGCATGATGCTCATTTCATTTAATTTTTCCCAACAATGAGAATTTTATTTTTAAAATTGTGTCCCTGTTTATCGAAGTAACATGGTTAATAACACTGTATATGATTGAGAAG